ACCCACGGGCTCACCCTTCAAACTTGTGAGGAGGAACAGTCAAAGGGCACCTTTTACCTGCAGCTCAAGAGACCCGCTCCCCCAGATTCCGGCGATAGCTTCAGCCTAATCAAACGGGCACAAAAGAGCAAAAGCTGCTTGCAAAACAAAGCGCGTACCCCACTGGTCACTAGAGTGCTACAAGCTGGAATCAATGCGATGACTGTGACAGCTGAGAACAAATTCAGCTATGTTTGACAACTTCCACAAAATATTGGCAGAGGACAGGGAGTCTGCACTGCCCAGCAGCACCTTTGTGAATTGATTAGCCATATAGCAGATGGCAAGCCTGCTGCAGACTGAGACAGCAGAAGATGGCCAGTCTGGTTGAGAAGAACTTGAAGACAACTGGGAAGAAAAAGCACGTCCTTACAGTGACAGCCCAAAACGATATTTCGGAAATGTCAGATGCATGGCAGATGAGGAACAGGACTGATTTTTAACATTTTCTTCAACTATTTATTATGAGCACCTGTCTGGCTCATAATGCAAAATATATTGCTTAGTTTAAACCTTTCACTTTCACCTCTTGCCCTCACAAAAATCCTAAAGAAAACATCAAAAAACATTTCTTCTTTTAAAATATTCTTCTAAACAGGACTTAGATAAGCCATTAAGGAATCGACTGATATGCTTGAGAGAATTTACATGCTTTCTCTGAAAATGGGCATGCCTTGAAAGTTTGGTTTTAGGAAAACATATTCTGGACAAAGAGCAAAGGCTTTGCTTCCCTCCTCCTGCCACATATTTTTGGGAGGGGTTTGGCACATGTTTGGGGAAAATTCATATTTTTAATGGTTTTAGGAAATGCCTTAGGCTATTCAGAGTCTGCACAGCTGCTCATCAGTAGCCAGCCATGGCTGAAGGAGCAGAAACTATGGATCAGAGAAATATGCCATCTTTGTCTGGTGCAGAACAATGCTGCTGCAGTGAAATACAATGGCCGTCTCTTATTTTCTACTAGCCCTTAGAAAAAAAAAAAAAAAGAGAGAGGGGAAAAAAAAAAAGGGAAGGATCATGGAGTTTCCTTGCAGGGCCTCTGAGCGGAGGGAGCGAACATTAGCTCTGCGCTCACAGATATGCAAATCCTTCCCTGGGCCCAACAATAGCAGAAACCCTGTGGGAGGAGACCGATAGCACAGACCAGGCGGCTGCTGCTCCCAACTCCTACGCCTGCAAAACCCACAGGTTCCCAGGACTTCCCAGAAACTGGAAAGTCAAAGCATCGTTCAAGAAGAGGAGAGCTGCAAAAGCTCCGGCGTCAGAGCCGACCGCTCTGCACCCGCAGAGAACACCATTACTAGACATTTTAAAGCTTACAGTTTGCCTGCCATTCTGTTTACAGGTGCAACTGCCCGAAAGATTGATGAATCCATGGTTCAACGTCTCTATATTGCCCCTTAGGTTAATAAGGCTCACGTATAAGAAGTTGGAACTAAAAGAAAAAAGGAGATTCTGCAGTGAGACCTCAATTAACAATGCTTGCATCTACATACTCCGAGCAAACTTTCTAAATGAGTGGGTTGGGTTTTTGTTTTCAACATAGACCACAATTACCAGGATTTAATGAAGTCTCTGACTTGCAGCTATCACTGATATCTAAATTTTTTAAGCTAAGACTGAGGGAGTACAAATAACAGATTGGAAGCTACCAGCATTGAGCTACTGCAACACAAATAGCTCAAAGTACTAAGATTTGATGGTTTTACCAGTGCTGACAGCAATCTATAAAAGCTGGAAAACCAAAACCATTCAGTGACACCGATTTGTCTCCCTTTAGAAAATATATTTTTGCACTATAGTTCATGTTATCCTAAATAGTTGCTATTTTGCATCAAATCTATTACCTCAAGCTGCATACAGACTGAGCTGGCACATTCACCTTGCATTTGGAAGGAGGTTTTCGATTGCTTCCAAAACTCCCATCAAACTTTGATCACAGCAACTGTCAATCCTTAAAATTTCATTTCCTTCATGTATTTTCCTCAGAACAGCTGACTCAAGCTAGTGATTTGAATGGATGCCTGAAACATCATCTCTCTACGTAAGCAGCCAACTTCAGGTCTCTCCAAGGCATCATCACCTGAAGCCACAGAGGGGTACAAACAGGTTATTTATACAGCATGCGCAGCAAAAACTGCAGCCAGCGTTCTCTCCCATTGAGCGGAGTCAGAAAACGTTCACAGGCTGGCACCTTCCAGATGCCCAGGGAACAGTTTGGAGGCAGCAGGACCGAGAGCCCGCAGATGCCCCAACATTACTGGATCCCCCAGCCCCGACGTTAAGGATTCAGAGGTAGCTGAAATGTGTGGTGCAGAGCAACAGGAGTCCTAAACATCCCAAGCAGTTTTGTATGCAATACGAAATTCAATGGGAAGCTTAATACTAGAAATACAATCTATTACCTCCCCTCCCCCGCCAAATCTTAAGCCTCCCTCAAACGAAAAAGCGCTCATTTTGCTGCACTAAATGGTAAAGGTCCTCAATCAAAGCAGTGTGTGTTATTCCAACAAGCAGTACACTTTGACATTTGACATTGATACAAAACAAGAGACCAAAGCTGACACAAGATACTTGGGACTAGTTTAGGGGTTTGTCCGCTATTCCATCAGTGACAGTTTTCAACACTCATACTTGAACCAGTTCTCCTCTACAGTCCAGGTCTGCAAAATAAGTCCCTAAGACTTCTTTGCAAGTTCTTAAAAAATTATGTCTTTAATAGTCTGAGCAGATTTGTTGTTGTTCTGTTGTTTCCCACCATGCACACAGAAAAGGCTGTTAGCGTGCAAACCATTGCTGTACTTTGACACAGATACTGTCTTCTCGAAAGCAACAAAAAGAAGTCACTTGTACTCCTTGATACTCCCGTTAACATCTCTGCAACCATTAGGAAATGGTTGGTGGCAAAAGGCGGCTTCTCATCAGACAGACAGAAAGGGTGCTCTGGATGCGAATCATGTGCAGAATAGTATCTGATCTAAGCATCTTACTCACGTAAGCTTTTATTCATTTAGACACACTTTAAAACTCCGTAAGAATCTTTGCAATAATTAACATGTAAAAACTCTGTGTCAAATCAAAGAAAAACCTTCATATTTTCATGTAATACATTTCTTGGACATTAGATGGCAATCCCCCCACTTCATTTTTCATACCAGGGGCCCACTATCCCTTCCAAAAATCAAATGTCACCTTCAACAGGTGAGCGGTCTGTTTGGCCTGTAGGAAGCAAGGCTGTTTGGAAAGCACTTTCAGAGTACCAAGGCTCCCCCACTACCATGGCATTCGTTCTGTTGCAACAGTTCTCCAGTTTTGGTTTTTCTTTGATTAGGAAAGGCAGATGAGTAATACTGTTATGGAAGAATGCTTATAACGCAGGCGTAAGAGTCACTTGTTTGACCCTTGGACACCCTACACCATGACTTGGATGTTTCCATGCCAAAAACCTGTAAGCAGAAATAGGTGGTTACCAGAATTTCCCCCTCATTTCGACAGAGGAATGGGGTTAGGAGAAGAAAGGGGGTTAGTGTGGCATTTAACAATACAATTTCTAGTCTTGCCAATTAAAAAGAGCCCTCCCAAGGGGTATCATTAGTCTGTGTAAATCTTCGCTGGGAATTGTAAAACTGAATTTAAAAAAAAAAGGCTATTTGGTACCAGTATGTGGAATACACACAACAGGAAACACCTACCAACTTTTACAGTGGGAATTCTATAGGTAGAAGAAAAAATAAGACACAAGGCATTTAAACAACTTAAAGGACAGCTCAAACGAATTCAACAGTATATGTAACACACCTGATCAAGTTAATGTCCCTTGGCTTTCAGCCTCTCACTTCTACATGTGATGTTTTAGAAAGAGGCAGGAATAACACACCTCGTCAACTGTTCAGTGATGTACATGGTGGGAGGAACCCTTCCTGACCATTAACTCCGTATGATCTATTTAAGTGGCACTACAAGACATCCTGACACCTATTTATTTCAACAGTGCGTGCCTGTGATTCATTCACACAAAATTCACTTCTTAAGCCTTCATTTCTCATCTACTTCCATCACTCATGAAACGTTCTTTTCAGGCCAAGTTCACCCCTTTTCATATGTCCCCCTCAGGACCGAATTTTGGCCTTGCAATACTTGTCCATTTGAGCTCTCATGCAAATTCACAGTGGACATGAGAGCGAGGTTTGCAGCTCTCCAGCATTCCAAAAGCACAGATAATGTTAGTCCTAAGACGGGGTCCACCCACAGCTGGCTACTCAAATAGCTAATTTTTCATGTACTTCACTGAAAATCTAACCTTTTATCCTCACTCTTGAGATGGTTGTGTATGTGTGTGTCAAGGTGACAACACTGTGAAAACAGAAGTTCTCAAATGGTACATTATCTCAAATATCAAAAGGTCACAAAAGGGTACGAATCGGTAGCTCTCCAGAAGAGACACTGGTTTTTATGAAAAGTGGGTCAGTTTTAGTTTCATGTAGGTTGTTTGACACAGTGGTTTCTGGCATCACAAGCTCTGGTCTACAGGATACCACAGAGCCTTTGTATCCCTTGCTGTCACTACAGCATTGTGTTTTTCTACCCATTAACCAAGGATAAATGACCTAGATATTGTGCCTATTAAAGCCTCGTTTTTCTTTTGCCCTTTTGTTCTTTAGTGTACCACATTATCACATGCTGAACACATTTTAAAGTATTCTCAGTCTCTCATGCCCTTTTGAAGGAGTAAAGTAGGGTTTTTAGTGTGCATTTCTGTAGAGTTACTTAAAGTGGAAAATATGAAGGTAATTCAAGGTTTCTCTTCCTGCCTAGTCCCTTGAAGACAATCAGTTCAGCATTTACAGCCACTAATCTATAAAGAATATAGCAGAAAAATGCTATAAAAAAGCCACAATGCAAATACAGAAAGCGAACACCAGTTGTGATGTCCCTAAACACTACATTCTATAATTACATCTCTGCATATCATGGGTCACTTTTATTAAAAGCATCATTACTACAGTTGGCAGCAATTTACATCTTATCTTACATGATAGCAGTTTCCAAAGAAAAAAAATAAAAAGACATCACAACAAAGAAAAACAATACATTTACAAAGTCATGTCTGTAAACTTCAAGGCTAGTTTAGAGTTGAGGTAATGCTGTTTAGCTTTGTGGCTAAAGTAACAAAGTCCTTTAATTTAAAAAAGGTACCTGATTTTTTTCTTTTTGTTTATACCAGTGCATTACAAGATCACGAGACGATTAAACTGTAGCTTTATCCTGTAAGAACCTTCTCCGCGGGTTAATTTCCAAAAGGTACTCTTCACATTCAACAGCTGCCTTATTATTGCTGTGTCTCAAGACAGAGACATTCACACTATCATGAAGATTGTCAGAGAGAGAGTGTGTGTGTGGGTGTGTGCGCGCATGTGAGCGGGTGAACTCCCATACAGTCAAAATGAAGCGCGAGTACGATATGTATGGTAAATTTCATCTTGACCTTCACAGCAAAAAAAAAAAAAAAAAAAATTAAATATATAACTTCATCCTTCCTTTAAGCAGCACTTCCTTCTATTAGTGCCACTTGATTACAAATTGCTGCTTAATTCATAATACCAATGGTACCAAAAGAAAAAAAAAGCAGAGCATTATGTCAATTTCCTTAAAAAGACATGATCACCTCTCAAATTTCATCTCTCCTAGGGATAATAAATAATGCACTGCACAATACTTAATGACCAAGATACCTTTTGACACATCTGTATAACATGACTTGAACTTTTTTTTTTTGCTACACTATGTTACAGAACAGCTTATAAAAACTAAGTATGGACATTAACTGTGAGTGTAAACAGTAGGACTACCACTTGTCAAAAGTTTAAAACACTTTAACTGTAACTGGTACTGGTTATTCATCATTTTCATTGTTTTCTATTTCTTCCCCCCCATCAAGTGAGTCTAATTCTTCACCCTGTGCTATTTCATCTTCTAAAACGGAGGAATCTGCAGTTTTATCAAGGCTCTCCTCTGCATCACTGCCTTCCAGATTTTCTTCATCTTTAAAGGCAGTTCCTTCAGTTTTGTCAGTAGCCTTCTCTTCGTTGGAGCCCACTGCGTTCTGAAGTCCTGCTAGTGCTGGGAAACCGGGCAGAGTCAATCCTCCCAGTCCTGGAGGTAGAAACATAGATGGATAGAAGAGGCCAGGAGCCATGGTAGACAGCAGGAAAGGATTGAAGGCCAGAGGGTTTGTGGGCAATCCAGTGTTGGTGGTGGTGGTGGTAGTGGTGGCAGTGGCGGTAGTCGCCGCAGTAGCAGCACTGACAGATCCATTTGCAGAGTCAGTAGCAGAAACAGTGTCTGTGCTTTTCTCAGAGTCTTTGTTCTCCTCTTCATTTTCATTTTTCTTCTCTTCAGCTTTTGAAGCGCCATCCTCAGTCTCTCCTTGACCGGAAGCAGTAGTGGCATTTCCAGTAGTAGCCGTTATCGGGTTATTCAACAATCCGCTTAGTCCAAACATATTGGGCAATCCTGCCATCCCTGGCAACATCAGAGGCAACATGGCAGCCGGATTTTTAGCGTCCCCCCCAGCAGCAGCAGCTGTTGCTAACCCTGGCGGGAAGCCCATGAGGCCTGCGAGCTGGAGAGACTGCAGGTTCTGTAGGTTCTGGAGGCTTGTGAGGTCCATTCCAGCAAACAGACTGTTCATTAGTAGTGGGTTGATTCCCGAAGTTGATGCTACAGCAGCAGCTGCTGCAGCTGCTTTGGCAATTTCACTTTTTGGCCTTCTTCCTCTTCTGCTTGCTCCTTCCTCCCTCACAACAGGTCCAGTGAGAAGACGGTCAAACATGGACTCTGGAACAAAACCCTGAAAAGGGGATGTGAAAAAACAAGCTTTATTCTCGATTAGCTTTTATAGCTTTCAGCAGTTAACTGGTGATGATGGAAGAAACCGAAGGGATTTCAGCATACTCCAAAAGTGGTTTGTTTTTCAACCCTAGCAAATCATGACTAGCTAGCTACTAAAGTGAATGGCAGCAGAACATGAAGAAAAACTGAAGAAAGCAAAGTCACAGATTTTTAACATTTAAACACAACAGTAAAACAACACATAGTGAAACTCTGTAGCTTCATTAAAAAAACCACCCTGATATACTGCAGTTACGAGTTTTTTGCACTTCATACTGAACTTCAGTATAGTAGTATTTTATCGAGTATTTGCAGAATTGTACCATTTATTTTCAAACTTGTAAAAGAAAGGGCAGAAAACCTAATCCTTTGATGCTGCCTATTACCAAGATGATGAATTCCATTTCTGTTATGAATATGACAAATATTTTCTTAATAGTTCCTAACGTATGAATACCTGTGCTTATTAAGGATTGTTGCTTACAAGAAAAAAAATAATGCAAAACAAATGCTGAAGGCTGCCTTACTCTAGCTGATCTTCCGAGTGTAGTTCAATCCCATTCTGCAGCGGCCTCCTATCGCCATCCCCCCGCCCCGAGCTGGGTAACTCCCACTCAGACACTACAATTTCCTCAGCTCAAAACCAGCTATGAGATAAAGACTTAATAATCAATTTACACAGCCTTCAACATTTCAGTGCTATAATCTACAGGGAAGCATGGAATGAGAGTTTCACTTACAGACTGTTTAACAATGTCAGTCCAATCTGGAGCAACAGCAAATTCAGGATTTTCTTCCAGCCATCTTGGCAAGTCCTTCATTGGAGGGGCCATAGCTCCACCCATCTAATGGAAAAGACAAGGTTAATACTTTAAAAAAACAAAAAACCAAAAAAAAAAAAACCACCCCACAACTATTTATATGGACATTTTTTATCTGTGCGCTTTCATCTCTGAAGGATGGCAGTAAAGACTTTCAGTTCAGACTGTGGAAAACTACATGGAAACCGGCTAATGATACTAGTGATAAATATGAACATATCAAAAGAGCAAGAAAGGAATTAAAGGAACTGGGTGGTACATTCCAGTAAGAGTAACTGCCTGTGCCAAATTATTAAACTTTTAAAAAGGAAGCTTGGAGTAGAAAACCTGCTTTCCACATGCAAAGACATTACTAAAGACCTCCATTGAACTAACTTAATTTTTACCTTCTTTCCATTTCGCTTATTTACAACAGGTACCCTTTCTTCTCCTGTCAAGGTGTTTATATCCAGTTTATTAGGGTTTCGACATCTGTGTCGTTTTTGTTTCGGCTTCTGAAACGGGGAAAACAGCACATCTGCACTCTTCTGGAAAGAAGAGAAATGTATTGCTTTTTAGTTTTTCATTTTCTTGACAAACATCACCAATCACGGAACTCCTTCTCACAACAATTTTAAGAAGGGGCGAATTACTTTACACTCAGATTATCTCAGAAAAATCTTTTCTCTTATCAGATGAAGAAATTCTGCAGAACTTGACACCAACACTGTTTTAACACAGTCATATACAAGTATTAAGAAAGGAGAAGCAACCTATACACCCTGGTGCCACTTAGGTGTTTAGATACCACATTAAGTGTGGCTAAAGAGAAAACCTCTACTGAAAACCAACAGTTACAAAATCCAATGACTATGCCCAATGTGAGGAAATTCATTTTGATGTCTGTAAAACTAACTTCTGTATTAATACAATACAACACAACAAACCTTTTAGAATCACATACTTACTGGTACATAACTTGGCATATCTACAGTGTAAGTAGGATGCAATTTAAGCCATTCAACTAAATCCTTGTTTTTAGGAGCATCCTCTCCCACCAGTCTGGTCCCATCCTCTAGATTGATTACAGGGATGCGAGTGTCTGGGTCCAGCTGACCAGGAGATGGAATGTTCCTTGCTGGTAGGGCTTCCATATCTTCTTCAAAAGCTTTGGTCACTTCTGCATCCTCCTGAAAACATTAACATCTGTATTAATTCTCACTTCAAGGGAACAGTTACCTGTGAGAAATAATTTTGGGGACTGAAGCTATATGCTCAAGGAGATTTTGCATACGCAAGAGTTAATGGGGTTTAAATATTCATACTATGTAAAGCAATACTGTCACATTAGGGAATTTTGTATATTTAGCATCCTTGAACATTAAAGAACATACAGCTAAAAACAGAGCAGTTTTCAGGCGCTTCCAGTTAATGGCCCCCAAGACATTCCCCTTTCTACACAGTAAGAAAGACATACTTAAGCCTCAAAATGTTATGTTGTTACAAATATATTATGTTTTGTTTAAAAAAAAAAAAGTCTTTTTGTCTTTTTGAAACTACAGCTACTTAAAACTCAGCCACAATTTGCTAGAGTAAAAATTCGATATGAACAATATGAACACCATTTTATTTGGTTCAAAAAGAAGTAACAGCTCTAAACACAAAGAAAAAGCTGGTTGGGTAAAAACTGTACATTACTATTAGGGAGAGTATAACAACACTTTAAACTCACATTCAGAAAGTACTAGACACAGAAGAACAAATACGAGACAAAAAGGTTGCTGTCTTACTACAGTCAATGATGTCCGTTTGTTGCTCATAAATAACAGATCAAGCCCTTCTACATTTTTCCTCCTTCCTCTCCTCCTCTTCATGGGCGGTTCTCCATCTATTAAAGAGCCATTTAGTAGATGCCTTGTGGGTGTGCGTGAAAGACCTGCTTGCAGCAGCTCCATTTGAGTTTTAAAGGCATCAGACACGGGTGTGGAGACATTAGGCAAGATAAACTTTGAAGTAACAGATGAAAAATTTGAGGTAGAACTTGTTGCCTCTCGTGAGGCCTTTGATAAATCTACAACCTTTTCTTGTCCATTTTCTGAGACCACCTGAGACTCACGTAACTGGGCAACCATTTCCATAAGATTTCTCCTCTTGGCAGCTCTCTCAGCCTCAATTTCAATCTTTCTTCGTCTCCTCCTCCTCTGACGTGGAACCGACAAATTGAGTGCATCTTCCTAATGAAAAATGAGCATTTCCAGACATTAGCAAAGCTCTGTTTGCTATGCTGAATTTAAAATAAAAGTCCAAACATATAACTCTGAAAACAAAGCCTTCATTTTATTCAAAGAAACACTTTTTTATTTTTCCCATTTTATTTAGAGAAATACTATTTTTTGGTTTTTTTTCTATTATGCAAAAGAAGTGCATGCAAGATAAAATATTTTATGTAAGAAAGAAAAAGATGCATCCTTGCCTTTGATAACTGAGGAGAAGCAGTGATATCTTCACTGCCACTGACGCTGGCTTGACCAACCATGGAGAGCTCTGCAAAGCTCCTTTTTTGTAGAGGGCTGTCCACAGCTGTTGGAGTATACCCAGGTATGAGCCCCTGGAAATCAAACATCTGGCGCCTATTTACTGGCCACTTCCCTTTCAGCACTGCTTCACAGATGTTGTCTAATCGGTTGATCATTACTCGGTCCTGCATAAAGGCAAAGTACATAACAAACCTTCAGTGTGAAAACTGCCTTTTAAACTCAAACGACACAGTCCAGCTTCCAAAGCTTAAGAAATACATTCAAAAACAACAATTCTTGCAGGTCAGGATAAAGTGATCGCCTCTCAAGAAGCTAATACACAGACAATTTTGTAGAATAAAACATCACTAGAATTTAAAAGCTGCATTTATACTGGGGGGGAAGGAGGAAGACAGGCCAAGTTTTCTGTATGACAATGTACTAACTGACAAATTCAACAGGAACTCTGCAAAACTTCAGTAGTTAGCAAAATCAACAGTTAGGAAGGGAAAATCAAAACATCTGCAATCAGTATCTTAAAGCTGCAGTTCTCGAGATCCAAGAGGCTGGATCTGCAATTCTGTCCTAGGAAGTGGATCCTCATTAGCGTCACTATTAATAAAGTTCAACATTATAAAACGGGCACCAACTTAGGGACATCTAATGAATGTCAATTTTCATTCCACGCCCATTATCACTTCAAATTTCACTGAAGCGTGTACACTAAAAATCTCTAATTATGTTTATTAGTCTACTTATGCTGAACCTATACAGATGAAGGATTTTTTGTTTTACTTTTACACTATGACTGGAATAAGATTTTAGCCCATGCTTCCAAAATACAATATTCCAAAATAGAAGATGAGTATCATTTGATTTTTTCCATTTCAGTATTCAAGCACATTCTATGCTAGCCTGCCTGAAGTAGTAGAAACTTCAGAACTATGAGAAATACTGCTGGGTAGTGAATATGAGCATCAGTTAGCTTCCTGAACAGCAAAACAATGCAAAAGCCACTAGCAAATCTCAGCAGCTGCAACAGACTGCTTGCTTTCCCCAGGAATAAGCTTATTAAGAATAAGGTCCCCCCGCCCTGCCCCCCCGTCCCAAACCAGATGGTCCTGTTATGGTGATTAGTAAGCTTAAGACTATTACCACTTTATTTCTCTCTCTACCCTTATTGCAAAGGAGAGTACTAAATTATGTATGGATTTATTATGAGGTTACGGTTTCATATTTCTAAAAACATTTTATATTAGATAATTTTCTGCATTGTTACCAAAATAAGATATAGCTTTATCCTATCTAAAACTGCTGCTTATGTTTGCAGGATACCTTAATACAATTACATAATGGCTTAGATCATGTAGGTCACCAATACTCTTCTCTACAATCTCCTCACCCCAAAATAAAAAGGTGATCTTACAGAATCTCTGCTCTTAACCTTGCAGATTGCTCTGCAGACGAAATCCATAATTCAAAATCGTAAGTTTGTTTCCATCAATAGAGGTGCCAGAGGTGTGATTCTGCTGACATACCGTTATGGAGCCTATAAGAACTCATATCTATCAGTAGTTTGTTGTTTTACTAAATGACACTTTTTACAGTAAAGTAAGTCCTTTCATTTCCTCTGCTAATTTGTATGAAATTGAAGAATAAAATGCTATTCCACAAATCATTCATAAAAAGTCCCTTGCCCACTAGAAGTGCAGAATCGTACAAAGCTCGCTGTTATTTTGCAAACACATTTCCTGTATTTTATCTCTGTTGAAAAGGACACATGTCATTCTACCCCTAACCAACCTTAGGCCAGAAAGAGAAGGCAAATGTTCTCTCATGAAGCAGCTGAACCACAGAGGGATCCCCATCTTCCATGTAGAATCCATCGCGTGTTTCATCCCTTGCAGTACTCATAGAGGCATTGCTTTCTTCATCAAAATTTTCTGCTGAATAACAACCATGACCAGACATTAACTACAAAAGTTCCCAAACACCCAATGCCAACCCAACTAGATAGGTTAAAACAACCAGGCCTGATGCAACATTTCTAACTCAGGCTTTTGTTCAGTAATTACTATAGCAGAGCCGTAGCCTTCTGCATTTGGCACAGAGACCGTGCTTATTGGCTCAGTAAGCTATCTTGGAAACAATCCCTTGTGGGAGAATACCCTGCTGATGCTGAATGGTTTTTATGAAAGCTTATCTAGCCACCTGATAGGCAGAAGGGCAGAGGAACTGCTACATGCAGCCCATCCCGAGCTCCATAATGGCTTCGTGTGTGCCACTTACCAGCTGGCACAAGCTACAACAGCTGTGGAGCTCATGCTAAGCACACGGAATTGTTCTGACCAATGCGTTACCTTCAGGTTGGGAGGATTCTTCCGATTTATCATCATCATCCAGTTTCTCCTCTTCATCTTCTTCTGAACCTTTCTCAGAAATAGATTTTGGGTCTACATCTGTACTCATTTCTACGTCTTTCAATTCACATTTAACAGAGCCAGGCTCAGCCTCAGCATCACAGTCCGGTTTAGTGTCTTTATCTGCAATATCTGTCTCCTCTTTGATATCAGACTTTTCTTTGGCTGCTGGATTTTCAGACCCTTCAACTTTAGACTCCGTTTGTTCTGTAGTCTTTTCTTCTTGTACTGGTGTGGATGAGACAATAGGTGGTGTTTGACTGCAGCCAGCACCCAGAGGGTTTACAGAAGAGACAGTATTTGCATTACCTGTCCCTCTGTTTTGAGCAAAGTTTTTGTGAGCCTCAAGAAAAGAGAGTTCAGGATCATTCAGAATGTGATAATCTGTCCTACTGACTCCATGTTTAGCAGCACCAACCAGTAAGTCTTTGTCATGTTTACCACACTCCCACCACTCTGGCAGGTCCAAGCTTGGTTGGCAAAGCTTTAGCCTCTCCCCCAACTGCGGGTGATGGAGAACCTGTTCACGGATTTTCCGCAACAGTTCTATGCGATATAAAGTTCTAGAAGCACGCTCTTCTGTGATCGGCTCAATCATAGTGGAAAGATCAGGTGGTTCTGCAATGAAAACGATTCGTATTGTTGAATATCGATTAAATGTACACCCATTTCAAAATCATTACACCTGGGCACGAAGTTTCAATAGTCCCACTGTCTCATAACAGTCACGTTGATTCTTACAGTCAGTTAAAACTTACCATCATCCGGTTTGACTGGCATTCGGCACACTCGTCTACACATATTCACAAAGCCATTAAAATACTTTTCCAAGCTTTCGTCGGACTTTTTATCAAGCCTGGCAAATGCTCTGAATTGATTCCAGTCAAATTGATGTTTTGCAGGATCAAAAATAATTCCAAAAGTAGACACCACACGATAAAAATCAGCTTCTTCTCTTCTTGTCCATCTAGTCAAGGAGAAGCAAGAGAAGTAAGGCCACTGAATAAATGAGAGTCCAAACATAGTCTGGATGCCCCAAAACCCTCTTAGTTTATTCTTTCAAAACAGAAGGGCAGTACTAGTGACACACAAGCTCAAACGAAATTTAAAGAAAGATATCACTAAAAAACTCACTTTTGTCGTTTTTCAGTTATTATAGCTTCCCTTTCTGCTTCTAGTGCCCTCACTTCTTCCCGAGGCCGACGTCTCCTGCGGTCAGTCTTCATTAGTGCCTCTTGCCTCATTTGTTGCCTTTTATAGCTGCGCTGATAGGCAGTAATGAGGCGACGCAGACGGGTAGTCAGGGTTGAAGTGTTGGGCCAGTAGAGTTGGCCTAACTCAGCATTGCTTTCACTGTGCTTGTCTAGAGAATAGAGAAGTATTTGTGCACTGCAAAACCACCACTAAACATTTCAAAGTTTCTATGGCTAGAACTGGATTCCTGTTTTATCTGATAAGAACATATGCCTCATTAATATTGGTGCATAACAAATTAGAAACAGGATAACTACATGGTAGGAAATAAAAAATAGAATCAAACCATCCAACTCTAAGAACTCAGAAATGCTTGTGAAGCATTTAGAGATAACCATCAAGCATTATTATTCAATGTTATGAATGCAAACATATTATGAATACTGTAAGTATTCAAATTAATGCAATGCATCTTTAAATATATTACTAAGAAGATCATTCTGCCTCTGAGGAACACCTATGCTTATGATTTCCCACTTTATTATTCTTACTTAAACTTGGCAATTTTCCTCCATACTGAGGAAACAACATATCTGTAACTTCCAAGATTATCTCGGCAAAAACATCAATGGCTGCATTACGAAACATCCGGTCTTTATCATCACAATTTCTACTATGTAGTTAGAAACCCAGAAAGCCATAATGTGGATTATTCAAAGACAGTAAATAATTGTTTTGAAAGATGAGAAGCGTGAAGAGAATTGGCAGTAAGAAGTTTACGGTGGTGTTTTCCCAAAACACAACCTATTCCCTCACGTGGCAATATAAACAGTCCACCTTTCACTAAATGGTCCATTTTTGCCTTTTTAATTTCTTTTCTATAGTCTTACTTGGGTGTATTTCTATGGACTCCTCTTTGTCTTCTGGAGGTGAGTTTGCAAATTCCTTGGGGAGAAGACAGAAGTTATTTTAGTTTTCAGTTTTGACCATATGTTATCATTTCAGGAGAAAAATATGTCATCTCTCAAACACAGCAGCAAACAATCTTTGTAAGGTGTGTTTATCTGGTAGCTCTCAAACTTAAGAACTGCATATTAAGGTAAACATGGAGAATCAGTTATAATTGTATATATTTGTAATTACAGAAAGTTGAAGTTCTTACATCAATTTCATCCTTGAAAGGAGTTCTGGTTGGCTTATATTCTGGATCTTCATCCTCTCTGTCAAATTCACCGCTATAAAATATTTAAAAGAAATATTTTCAAGAAATATATTGTTTTTGAGGGGGGGATGATTTTCTGGACAAAAGCAAAAAAGCTACAAAAGCCATCAGTATGGTATACCAAGTTACACATTTGTATTTCATGCTCAACTGTGTAAACAATTCTATGTACTTTTTACATCATATGATCACTTCAGATCCTCAGGCGAGATGTAAGCAAAATATGACATATGAACTCATGCCAACAAATACAATGCTGATAAAGTTTATTAATTTTTTCATGTCCTCCTTACCCATCACCGCCATCTGCCAACATGTCTGTCCCTCTCTGTTCAGCAGCTATGGCCTTCGCATCAGGCATGCCAACCCGTTCCAGAAAGCACAGTGCTGGATCAGCTCTCATAGAATTGTATTTCTCATAACCTGCATGCAGAGTGGCAGACAAATTTTTTTAAAAAGCTATAAACAGCTGTGAATAGAATAGGTTTAGGCAGTAGACGTACGATTTTCTGGATTCATTTATTTATTTTTAAATAAAACAAAGGAGCTGTCACCGTGCTGGAAACAACCATTTCATTCATGTAATGAAATTTTTCATATTGATAAATTCCATCAGCACAGAAACATTTTCACATCAGTAACATTAACAAATAGTAGATACTGAAGAAAGCATTCAATTGAATGTCTTTATAAGGTAAAGTAAAAATCTTTCACAAGTGAAAAACTTCTTTAAGTTTCCTATATGACTTTCACAGTGGTTCTCCACATTCAACACTCCCTACTGGAAACATGCAGATGTGAATGGAAACACACACACATGCATTTTCTATAGCTCCAGCCCCGCTGGAACCCTCAACGTAGGCTGCAAAAATGCTGTATACATGGGTTATACATAAGGCCAACGAACCTGTCTTATTAGGTTTAGGATGATGCATGTCAGTAAGATGACACTGTTCCCTCTATGGTTTTCAAACTGCTGTTTGCTTTTTTACTGCCTAAGTTGACTAGATGGAAAATGGCAGATCCCAACAGTGCACTGCAGGAAAATGATTTTTAGACTAGACTTGCCTCAGCTGAGCCCACAAAACAGAGCTGCTGTACATAGGCAGAACAGCACAATTCAATTAGGATTTGTACTACAACACACTGCTCCTAACTGCTGTAGAGCCTCAAGCCAAACTGTAATCATGAAAGGTTTTATAAGCCATCATTCTCCCCTTTAGTCAGGCTGGGCTGCTGAGAATACCTCTGCGACCTCCAGAGAATTGGGATTATAATCAGGAATCGCTCACTGTATATATCATGCCAGCTCTGCATCCCCAGCCTTTCAAAGTTAACAAGGCTGCATCCCACTCAAGGGAGCCGGGAGTTCTCAACACTGACATTTGTGAAATATTGCTTGGAACAAAGCCCAGGAGGCACTTGTACAGATTAATAGCAGAGGTTAAGCCCACCGTCCACTTTGACACTGGTTGGCAGAGTTAGCAAGTGAAGCAGTGCTAGAAGCAAAGTTTATGGAGATCTATCTTACTATTTGGCTATTATTTAAACAAATATGGTTTTGTTTTATTTACAGCCAAGAAAGTAATGTTTTCTTCTCAAATGTTCTGCAAACATTTAAAAACAGCATCTGATATTTACAGCTCATATTAGGTTTTTAATGCAGGCAAGAAAAAAAAGGGAGACACAAGCCAACAGTTCTTTGGAACAATACTTGTTAATATTATGACTGAACAGTCCTACACACAGAAAGCTTTACAACTGAGTTTTGTTCAGAGTGAGACATCACTTACCGTGTTTGAATACTCCAATTAAAAGGGATTTATCCGCCTCCTTATCCCACCAGTCTGCAGGAACTTCGGCATGGAATGGCTCAGGTATCCATACATCTACTTCACTGTAAAGACAGCATTATTTACATTCTCAAAGATATTACTAGGCAAAGATTTTTTTTTTTTTAAAAAAATGTGGTTCATGCTATTTTGTAAATATGAATTTCGAGGGGGGAAAAAAAAAAACAACAACCCAAAACAGAAATTGAAATACCTGAAAAAATAATTAGGATGGTTAGGAAAAAAACCAAACCAACACAAACCACAAAAAACCAAAAAACCCCCCAACAAAAAAAAAAACAACCCAAAACCAAACAAACCAACTCCCACCCCACAACAAATAAACCCAACATTAGGTTATTTTGGGAGTGGAATGACAATGGTTATCCAAATATGATTCATTTAAGGTCTTAGTATATTTTTTAAATTTTTTAAATTGAGACAGAATAATCCTTCAATATTAGCAGAACTGAAAATCCACTTCTGTCATTTCCCACATCATTCCCTCTCCCAAGAAAATCACCCACGGCGCTTGATAAAATAAAAAGGCTGCTTGAGAATAGAATTTAAGAGATAAAGTGTGACAACCTTTAAAAGCTGCATTATTATATTACACATACTTTATAAAAGCCAGCGTCATAAAGCAAAAAATAAACCTGCACTTGCACTAACCTTGAGTCAGCACCCTCTAAGATCTTGTCTGCTTGGTCCCCTATAACTTCTTGTCGTAGATAGTAGAGCATGCGGACACGCAGCAGGACCCTGGAGAGGAAGGCAGAGGGGGGAAAAAGTTCTTAACTTCAGGACTGTTTGCCAACAGTGGCTTTTGGCAGCTGCTGCTGTTCATCCATCATCCTGCCAAGGCTGATTAGCCATGCTGTATGGTAGGCTTGAAGCGTGACAGATGGTGGCACATAATCACCTCTGTGTGGTGCTTTCTGCTGGCTTCCAACAGGCCTGCCTGGCAACCGCTTACACTGCACAGAGAGGGACCCAGCTCAGCCCGGCCCCGGCGCATTTCATTTAGTTCTACCTAGTGCAGCTTGTGAAGTTTAGACACGTACTCTACCACTGCCTCTGAAGTATTGAAGCAAGTTTGTAAACAACTGAGCAGATGGCTTTCAGTAACTGTTCTGCTTCATTATCTCATAAAATTTCCTCAGCTGCTGCCTTAATACCATTTTTGGAAGCACATCAGAAGTTGTAGGAACAAACGAGATATAAAATCTGGTTTTACTACCTTACAATAAACCCTCAATATGGAATGTCAGGTTTTTCAGATTATACAACTTTTTGCTTCTGAGAATGGGGGGAAAAAAATAATCCCCCGTTTCCCTTGGGAGATATTAACTATTTTTACTCTTTATAGTTCAAACTGCTATTTAATTTTACCTGAGCACAACCTAACTGCTACAAGGAAGTGAAAAATCTTCATTGCCCATGTTTGTTTTTCCCCATCTCTGCAATACTACAGTCATTTTTGGAAGCGCTGTCAGGTGTTGTGGTCACACTTGAAGCTGGCAGGAGAGAGAATGGCAGACTCTGGCTTTTCAAGGAGACTAGAAAAGAGGTCATCTCTGTAGAAAAAGTATCCACCTGAAAATAATCCCACTCTCCTATGTTTACCCAATTCAGGGCACCCCCTGCTGCCTAGTTCATGAAGTAAAATCAGTACCAGCTAAAATGGAGATTACTCAGCCTGCCCTCTCACTGTACCCAAATCCATCACAGCAACTGTTGAATTGCTGCTGCTCCTGTAACAGCAAGGGTGACCAGGGAGGCAGTAATCAGATCACCCACTTGCATGAAAAATTTAGACCACCACCAGTTTTGAGAGCTCCTTATTAGAGATCTGATGCAACTGGAGCAATACCCGCTTTTACATGTGTTATGGAAGAGCAGGGATTTGAATGAAGGTCATGTCTACAATTCAAAACATGTCAGACATGCTTCTTTTTGTATGCATGATAACTGGGACCAGTAAGGTGTCCCTGCTCCCTGTGTGGCTATGTAAATAAGCTGTTGACAGTCTCTATCATCTTAGTATTAAGCAATAACAGCTGTTACATCAAGCCAAAGAAGAGGAGCAGGGGGGAAAAAACCCAACATCAACCAAAAAACCAGAGGCTCTTTGCACCTTTCAGGAGCTCTATGCATAAAAACAGCATACATGTTACATAAGGACAGGACACCACTTCTTATAAAGCCAATTACTACTGCTACCTTTTGAAGGAAATTACTCAGATTATTAATTGGCTTCCACTCTGTTTGATTTTACCTGGGCTAAACATGTTGCTTCTACAATTCACTTAGTCCTGGTGGATCTGGGAAGTGAAGGAAAAAGATAGCAACTGGAAACATTCTTGCACATTTATCAGTCTTCCTGATCCTTGTAATTGTTCTATTGTATTATTACAGAAGCAATATTTTAAAAATTAATTTAAGTCTGATCTGCAAACTGATATAACAAGTAGTGAGGACATGTTACCTGGGAGATTAAAATAATGTTACAGGAAAGAATTTAATTACTTTAAGAGCAAGTGAAACGTAATAACAGATCTGAGTAACAATTTAGAAAAAAATCAAAAAGCAGTTTATTTGGATGTGCACTTGCTAACGTAATTCTATAAGTATCTGTTTTCATCAGTTGAGAATTAAGCTTGGTTAGCATCTGGAAACGAGCTAATAAACCTCTTAAATGCCTTTCCTCCTTCACATCACACCCCCTATTGACAGGCCACAGGTACTTTTCAAATCAATAATTTCTTTCCAATAAACAGTATTAGTAAGACAGAATATATATTAAACCCACAAAAGTAATGACGACCTTTCAGTAACACTGCATTACATCTGCATTGTATATATACAATGAAGAGTATAAATTTAAAACCAAAACATAACAAAACCCCCCAAACCCAAAAAGCAAACAACTTGCCCTCCAACACCAAAACCAAATATTTTTGGGACAGGGGTTAGGTTCAGTGTCTGTAATGGAGAATTTAGTAAGCAAAACTGAGATGGAGAACCAGGACACTGTCAAAGGAAGCTGACACAAAAATAGCTAAGAAATTACAAAAAAAAAAGCTAGAAGAATGTAAGAGAGGCTCTTAAGAGACATTCGTGCAACAATAAAACAATGTAACATCCAAATCAAAATACAATGATCTTTATCGCCAAAGACTTTCAGTTTAGTAACATGCTTAGAATTTCAAAAATCAAATCAGGACACTGATTCAGGTAAGAGAGCTTGGTGAGAAATTTTATCTCAAACAAAGGAGAAAATATTCTGTATAATGTGGAGAGCAAGAGAGGAAGGGAGAAAAGAACGAAGAGAAGAGATACACCCACATATAGGTGAACTACTACATGAAACTCTGGAAACTAAGAACGGGATATTTGAGTTTAACATCTAAGGAACAGAACTTTAAGGACATCAGCCTGAGAGACCCCACAAGAAGGGTAAGAAACAAACAGCTTTTGTTTAAAGATAACAAATTGTCAAGAGAAATAGACTTAGCGTAGGGATACAGTCTTTCCTTTATATGGTAAAAAGAATAACCTCATCTGATTCCATTCTTATTCAGTAAGTAGAAAACAATTTTCTTCAGAACTGTGTTTTAAGCTCTTTATGATCAGTCATAAAGAGCTTACAGAAGTAGCCAGCTATCTGTTAAGATGATTATCCCCAAATTAAAAAGTAATAATGACCTTTACATCCTATTAAATGGCCCTGCATTCTATTAAAAATATCCAAAAGAAGTTGTGGACTTTTCAAAAGCATGTAATAAAAAAAACTCTAAATGAAATATTTATTAATACTTACTTATTACAGTGATGTTTGAGATGTTTCCTATAGCTGTCTTCTTGAAATAATACATCTGGATTACAGGTTGTGAGCCAATCGGCGTCTTGCAGCATTGGCTGCGAACTCTGGGCTTTTACTTTCTTGCCTTTCCTCCCTCTGGGCACTGGTGCAGACAGACCTACATAAAATCCCAATACTTCTTATACAATCTGAATAGGAAAGCTCTCACCTCAAACTGCATTACAAACGTACATTTAAACTAAGTATCACTGCTATATTCATTTCTGTGTTGGCAACACAACCACCAAAACTGAACAGCAACATAATTCAGTACAGAAAATAACAAAATCAACCAAAACTTTCATGCAAATTTAGGTGTGAAGATTTCAAAAATTCAGAGCGCTAGCCAGAAAATGGTGTTATATAAATATTTCTTGCAAAAACTCTCATGAATCTGAATGGCCATAAGGAAACAAGCTTTCTGCTTTATGGCAATTTGAAAGAGAGTAACTCCAGCAGTAAGTGCCACTTAAAAATCATGCTAGAATATTTGTTCAAAACTTGCACTGCATCCTACAAAGTGTCTGAGGGAGACTTCCACTTTAAGTACAGACCAAGTCAAAGCCCACCTTACTCATAAAATCTGACAAGATCCTACGACATGTCAGAATGGCTATAGTTTAAACTAAATACATAGCATGACTGAAGAAATTCTTTCCTATTTACTAGCATCATTATTTGATTGTGGTAGACATACCGGAATGATTAACCAAAGCTCGAGTTTGCCCATCTGCAGTTGGAGTGATCAGATCCCAGATGAAACTTTTGATATTTTCATCCCCTTTGTAATGATTAAGACAATATACCAGGATAGTCCGGCAGATGGTTTCCACATCTTGTTCTGTTAGCTGACGTTTATAGCGCCCATGTGAGAGGATGTCAGTCCACCGACCCCAGCTATAAGAAAAATATGTTCAATACAACAACTAGGGCACTGGTGTTTTAATTTGTGACTTTCAATTTAACTCCTAGTACCGAGCAAGTTGGGACCTCCTTTGTTAGCACTAATGCATTTTGCATTTGCAGGTTACATCAGGGAATCCAACCTCCAGCACTAAAGAGTTAAGAATGTTTATTTTACAGAACAGGCAATAAGTTCACTGCTCGTAAAGCTGCACTTGAACTACATCAAAATAATAAAGTACATATGTTTAACTCTCATGGTCCCAGTAAGCTACAAATAGGAAATTCAACCAATTCCTACAATCATGGGATTTGGGGAATCATTCTTATTTTGATCCTGAAATCCATTATTAGCAATTGTTGTACGCAACTTCCTGAAATAAACAGAATCATTCTGAAGCCCGTGTAAGCAGTCAAATATAGCTTCTTGCTTGCAAAGAGATAAAATTAAAATTGGTAAATCCAGTGGGGAAAAACAAAGTATCAAATAGCTGAATTTAAGTGGTGCCGAAATACCAGAATCTATGTTGAAAACCTCTAAATTGACTGTTGATTTCACAACCACATTGTTCTTTACAAATACATTTCGTTATTCTCCACAACACTTAGAAAGGAGAGATTAAACCTCAGTAACTCAGGAATTCTTTACACTATGAGAAACCAGAAACAAATATTCCATCATCACAAAACTACGCATCTCACCAGTGAGCTCACAGCCATCTGTGAGCCACTCGGATACTTTAAGCTAAATAACACATATATGAGCAACTTACATATATAGCAACTTAAAATCTCACTGGCATGTATACAACATAATGAGGTAAAGGTTACACAGTAGGAGATTATGTGAACTTGCCCAAGAGAAGGATGAGTTATTTACTATATATCATTTCCATATTTTCAGTTCTTTAGCCACAATCAGTATATTTAATCCTTACCCATAAACCAACAAGTTCTTCTCCACCCTGAAACATTCACTTCTTGCATAACCCTGTGATTTGTCCTGAGGCCTACGGGGCTTTGTGCTAGGCTTTTCTTCAGAATCACTTTCCAGGTCTGAAAACTCCATCAGTTCATCCTCTTTCACTGCACTGTAGAGTCTGGTTTGCTTTCTTACTCTTGGTGTATCAATAACTAAGTTATTCTAAAATGAAAGTGAAAACATAGACGTTTAGGAGGGGGGGAAAATCTTCAATTTAATTGTAGTAGGAACTACCATAAAGCTCTTACCCTTCCATTTAAAGCATCAATATCCAGCTCAGCTTTCTTTGCCCACTTCTGCCAAAAATTAGGGTCATCCAAGGAAATGTCTGTCCTGTTCCCAGATGCAACAAAACTAGCCTAGTAAATGTGAAAACACATGCATTGGTTTCTTAAGTGCATGCTGCAAAGAATATCTGTTTTCACTGGTAAATACAATACTTAAGACTTATAAAGTGGTAGTTTCAAGAAAGAAAAAAGGTAAGCCTGTAAACTACCATGACTGGAAATACAGATATCCCAACATTTGTGAGGAAAATATCTGAGACAAGTACATTGAAAAACTAAATTTACACAGAAGGCAATTTAATACTACTTCATCTACCCTGGTCACATTTTATTAATTTTCCTCTGAATGTCAATGCACACCTTTGCAAACGTTGAGCCTTTTCCTTCAGATTCAATAGTAATCGTGTGTGTTCGCCTTAAGAGAATCTGATCAATATCCTCTTCACAAAACTTAGACCCTTCATCTTCCTCATCCATCAGAGCACCATATGCCCCCTTTCGAAGAAGATCTTCTATTTCTTTCTTAGAAAGCTGTTGCACCTGTAACATGTAAGAGAGGGTTTTGGGTTGTTTTTTTTTTTGACATCAGCCAATATGTACATCTGACAGCATGATCAGACTGATTGTCCTTTTATTTAGCATTTTAAGAACTGAAACTCTAAGATAATGTGATGTTGATCAATTAAACATTCATGCTGAAGTCACCTTTAAAAGAAGAATACGAACACCAAAATTCTTAGGGTGAAGTTATACGAGTGGTTTAAACGATTTAATAATTCATTGTCACTGAATCCCTTTACTCTAGCTCTGATGACGGCTAAACTCCTCCTGGGAGCAGATTTAACTTACTAACCTGACAAAAGCAAAAAAAGTTCAAAGCAAAAAGGCTACCCCAGAAAAAGCTGACTAGAACAACTCCATAAAGTGCCAGGATCAACATAATTTAAAGAGTGGAATGATGAGAATGGATGAGGATTGAGGGAACATGACTCCACCTGCCCCCTTTTGGCAATAAGTGAGCCATTAGATAGGCTGAGCCAGTTCATGTAGCCTTGCCCTTAATTAACCCTACTTTAAAATACATGCCGTGCTCCATCTGAAAACCACTGTTCTCCAGCTAAAACGCAAACAAGCGAGAAAAGTGTTACACATTCATAGCATTTGTTGATCATGCCCCTTAATATATTAATTCTCACCCCATTTGTAGCGTTTTCTCTTCCGCTCATGGATTGTAGCACAGCCTTATCAAGGCCAAGCTTCAAGCTAGCTTTGTCAAACATTTCCCTTTCGTAAGAATTCCTTGTTATCAACCGGTAAATTTTCACTGATTTGCTCTGTCCTATTCTGTGACATCGTGCTTGAGCCTGATGAAACAAAAACAGTGATAAAAGGAAGAAAAAAATTTAAAATAACCAATACAGAGAATGCACTTTAAAAGTTATTGCTTTCAATACAAATAATTATCTTTATGTTTTCAAGAGAGGGACAATGGATAATTTCTCTTGTAGGTGAAGAAAATTTCACAGCAAAAAGGCAAAGAAAAATTTTCCATAAAATCATATCTTGTAATATTACCTGGAGGTCATTTTGGGGGTTCCAGTCTGAATCAAAAATAATGCAGGTATCAGCAGCAGTAAGATTAATGCCCAAACCTCCTGCCCTTGTACACAGCAGGAAAACAAACCTATCAGAATCAGGTCTTGAAAACCTGTCAATAGCTGCCTGACGCAAGTTGCCTCTTACTCGGCCATCAATTCGTTCATATGGGTACCTGAAATAAAGATGCATTTATAAGGAGAACTTTACTGCAATGGCACTGTTTCTTTATAAGAATATGCAATAAAAAAAAAAAAGGAAAATATGCTACTATAGGGTCAAAAGAACTACAACAAACTGAGTGACTGTTCCTGTATCGGCTAACTTCATCAGTGGAAGACATACTACTTTGTCTCCTGCTTTGCGTGTTTTGGTGAAGAACAGACTTTCACTTCACGGAATGAAATAAACATTCAGGCTTAAGCTAAAAAACTCTAGAGCCACCAAAACATTTAACTGAGTAGTAAACAAAGAGGTTTAAAGCTCTCCATGTAAGGTCATTTTGTATTCACCCAAAAGAAAAATCTCAGTACTTGCAACTTACAGGTATGCTTTTCCCTTTAGTCAGATCACAACAGAAAATACTGTAGTGTTTGAATTTCATCCCTTTTCAATATAGATTACTCACAGGTTAAATACTGTGGCCACTGAGGAAAGCACAGTTTAGTTAGTATTGTATTATATTGTTGCTCTCACCGTCTTTGAATGAGGTAGTCTTCCAGTATGTCCAAGCAGCGCACCATCTGGGAAAAGATAAGCACCCTGTGGCCACCAGCCTTCAGTTTTGGCAGCAGCTTGTCAATCAGTACTAGCTTGCCAGCAGCCTGGATCATTGCCTGGAGCTGAAAATCTGGAGAGTCGGCATTGTGTGTCTCTTTAAACTCTTCCAAAATTTTCTCTTCAGCACCTGCAAAGATTGGACAGCAATACATGAACACTGCAAAGGGTTTTATTAATAAACAATGAGTTTGCCTTCAATACCCTATAGAAACTGCAGGAATGTTTTAAGCATTATGTGAATAAACATTTATAAAAAATATTACGCTTAAATTTAAAGCAAACATATACACAAATACAGCATAAATAAAAAGTAACTTTGAGCATCCTCTTTCTTTTTTCCTCTTTTAAACAAGAGTAAACCATTTCCTAAATAAATTCATACAACTATTTAATGAAAAATTAAGGAAGAAAAGATTAAAAAGTAAACCATATTCCAACTGATCAAATGGATTTTCTGTCCTTTTTTAAACGCAACACGAAAGAAAAAATATCTCATTTCCACAGGGAAATAGGAGGAATACAAATCACATTTGATGTCTGTGCCGCCAAAACCAAAACCAGGCTTAAACACGTACATGACCTAGACCTGCTCCTTCCATTATTAATTATAGAATCAAAATCCAAAAAATGAAAAAACTAATTGGGGGGGGGGGGATAAGCAGCTGTGAAATTATTATTTTACCTTCCATTTAGCTTTCTTTTCTCACTGAATGAATTTTTTTGTTCAGTTTGATGAAGCCACCCAATGTATATATTCTTTCCAGAATTAGTCAAAAGTTCTTTCTTGCCACTCTCTTTGCCTATGAACGATATGCACTGCAGCAAATATTTCCTTGTACTACTCATTACCTGAACGCTACAGACCAAGTTCAAGTTTTCTCTTCAACCTCTCCTATGCTTTTATTCCATTTTTTATGTCACTTCTACAAACAGTGGACTATTCCGAGAATTATCAGATTACTATTCTTGGCTATGTAAAAGGTTAGGAATCTTCATTCTAAGCTTATTTCACATCCAAATAAACCCTTTCTTGGAGTTGTCTTTTTCAATCCCTCTGGGTTTTTTTTTGTTGGTGGTTTTTGTTTGTTTGTTTGTTTTTAACAAAATGTAGTTTATAAAGTATTTCTGGTTTGTATAATATTCAGCTTCAATACTGCTTTTGAATAACACAAGGAAAGGTGGTAGGGCTTGTGGGGGGTGGAATGGGTGGGAAACAGCTTACTGCCAGGCTTCTGCTGAGCATCTCTCTCATATCCCAGTTCTAAGCAGATCCCTGTAAACAAACATGCAAACACACCCTCCCTGTGCGATCGCTGGTTCAGTGCCTACTGTAATGTGGCGTCTTAACTAGATACCACCCTAAGCAGGCTGTCTGACAGCTTTGTAATACTCAATACACTTGCACTACTAGCTTTTCTAGAACTTAACGGACTCAAGATGTGACCACACTTAAAGTATGTTACATCCCTGAGTTTTCCTTATCTGGATTTCCTTATCTGGATTTCCTTATCTGGATTTCCTTATCTGGATTTCCTTATCTGGATTCAAAGCGTTACTGATCCTAATGGTTTGCACATAAGAAAAACAAGCCCATGTGAAAATAGTACAATCAGACACTCCTTCAAGTTCCCTTCAATCATATCACTTCCCATCTTGTAAAACGGGCAGAATTTTGGGTAGGAAATATCAGATTCTGTACTGAGCTTAGACAATTTCAGAATATAGTAGGCTGTCAAGTAGTTCATATACAGTAACTTCAGTGATCTTTCTTGGTTACATCATTTATTTCTTATCAGCTGTGATATCCAAATTTAAGTTTCACTACTATGAAAGTAAACCAATATACAAACACAGCATCTGCAAAAGCAAATCACCTAAGCCAAGCACTCCACAACAAACCCACAAACAGGTCTAATGAATGGTGAATTTTCAGTATCAGAGTTTGGTCGCAGCAAGACCCACTTCCATAATAGACCATGACCTCCAAAAATCTGCTCTTTCAATAACCCTATCTTAGTTAAACCCTGTAAAAGACTACCCTGACTTTTTAATTTCTACTTCAATTGCAATTAAGTGATGTACATTGAGTAGCTTGTTACCCAAAAGTTACTTGACGTAGTACCTGTAGGTCTGTAACACTAGTTCCTACCCTAGCTGATTTTTAGTAGGGGATGAAAGGAAGGTATTTGAATGTGTGCTTGGTCCATCAGGGAAATCTCCACTTCCACTCCTAATTAGGAGAGGCTTTCAGGGCTCAAGAGGGCATAAGGAACACAGTAAGAAACCTTTCCAATGTTCAACACTGTAGGATGTGCAAGTACAGAGGCACTCCCCACTGCTGGCTCTTGGGAGACAGAGAAAGAGGAATGATGTATAAATACTTGAGAATGGTTGCTATGGAGAAAACAAGGAGTCCAGCTCTAAGAAAAATGACAGACAATGCTTTGCCCAAGTTGGTTGGAGAATACACAAAATGCAGTAACTCCCTGTAGAAGTCTACTCTGAGACAGTCTCAGCAGACCACCATTCTCCCCTCCACAGAACAGATCTACCAATCAAGAAACAAACAAGAAAACCACTCGACATTCAACTCCTACCATTACTTCCATCATATAACCTTCTATGGCTCTTAACTGAAGATTATCTAGAAGACTTGCTTGCAACTTTTATGCAAAACAAAACACACAGTGTTCTACTTGGATATTCAAATACACATGCAGTACTGCTTGCTCACAAAACCTGTAAACTTGAAGAAAATGAGAAGGATTCAGAAACATTTTTATAAAAGCAGTTAAGTCTCAAATACTTGCTACGGTGACAAATCATTCATCAGGAGAACACTATGCAACATTATGTACTAGCACTGCAAGACCTCTTGGTAGAGCTACAATAAACTTGTGCCATCACTCTAAGTACAAAGATGTTAATTATCAATCAACAAAATAAAACCTCAGGCTCAGACAACTACAGGATGTAAGAGTATTTTCTGTCCTAGAACTACAAAGGACATATTTATATAGTTCCATCTCCACGCTGATAATAGCCAGGATTCATTTATTTTTCCCTCAAATCTGAAGGCTTGACCCACCTGCATGACACCAAGCAAGTCTGAATGTTCAAAAGTCACAAAAATGTAATAAAGGCAAAAGCATTCAAGAGACAAATCCACCTCCCTTTATTAGGGTTAAGATACAGTCATCAAAAAATACTTGAAATTTTCTATATAGCCACCTGGACTTCAGCAGTCTTTAACAGACACTAAATGATACAAGACTTGTGAGGAAAAAGATCACGGCTGTCGGCAACACTGCAAGCACTACTCATGAACTCCATTTGACAAAACAAAGTAGCAGCAAAATATTCAGTTTATTTCTTTTAGCAAACATAAAATAAGGAAAAATAATGGCAAGGTTAAAAATTAGCTGAAAAACAAGAAATGTAAAAAGCATCAAGTGCAGAAGCTTATAACCTGAACATCCTAAACTATTTTCTGGTAAAGTCATTTCTATAATGGGTTAACTTAAAACAAAGAACCAACAAACAAAAAACCCTACACCAGAACCACGAAGCTACTTTACTGTATGCTCATCTGAGTTTAGAAACTGAGCAGCCCACCAGCATGGCTGGGTTGAAGTACTTTGGAGTAACCCTATATCATGTCTTTGGAATAATTACTTGTGCATGAAATATAATTAGATGTCATTTCATGAATCAGTTTAAGCATTCTTCCCCCCACATTTAAACAAAAATGTCAAGAAAAAAATGTAAGCATTGCAATATGGAAGTCATACAATAAAAAACCTGAAATCCCATATGGCTTTTGAACAAAACATGTCTTTCATCATGAGGCTTATAACCAGCATTAAACCAACCATAGCATAAACCATATACAGTAAGGAAGAGGAATTGGGAAACAAGAAACTAGTAGAATGCAACCCTGTACAGAGGCTTGTATTACATCCTCAAAGGGAAGATTTGATTTGACCAACACACACAAGTTTAGCATACTTCAGAGAGCTATAGCTAGCTGGTTCATCATATGGTCAGTCACTGGAACAGGGTCCCCAGGTAAGTGGTCATGGCACCATGACTATCAGAGTTCAAGGAGCATCTGGATGACACTCTCAGTCATAAGATTTAGTTTTAGGTAGTCCTGCGAGGAGCAGGGAGTTAGACTCGATGATCCTTATGGGTTCCTTCCAACTTGAGATATTCTATGATTCTGTAGTACTTGCCATAGATAATCCTGATCTAAAAGCAGTAGCACCAAACTGAAAAACAATGTTTGTCATTGTAGTCTAAAATGACATTCATACAAATCTTTTTCTGACTAGTTAAAATTAGCAAAATGAACTGACAACACGTGGCCATAAAAGCAGGCCTGATCATCATCTCTTACCCCACAACTTTTATTCAGAAATTTTAAGTTACTATTTCATAATGTTCCATGGCAAGAAAATAAGTAGCAGCTAACTATAACTTTGAAGGAAAAATTGCCATATTTATGCCAGCATCCAACAACCTGCATGATAACTGAAGTCTTGTTTGTCAGAAATAACAGAAAGGAAAACTTGATAATACCAACACTAACTCTGTCAGGGCTAGGAAGCCTTGGAAAAAAGCAGCACAGATGTCTTCAAAAGCAATCCTGTCCTGGCTAGCAGATATCCATACCTAAGAGAACCTAAAAGGTTATCTCACTGTCCTACTTAAAACAAATGAGTAAATAAAAAGACACACTAGAATAGAATTTCTAACCTACTGAAGTGCCTTGCAACCTTTTTTTGAATAAGGAGAAAAATAGGAGGCCTACCATTAATAAGGTATGGATGATTGCAGCATTTTCTTAGTTCCATCATAGTGTTTAAAAGATTAGGTACATTTGCCTGACCTCCACCCTTGGAAAGAAATGTGAAATTCTTTTCAAGAATAGCACGATAGTATTTCTTCTGAATATTTGTCAGCTCAACTTCAATGATGGTTTCCTCTTTGGGGGCCAGGTTCTTTTCTACATCTTCCTTGAGACGTCTCAGCATCATCGGCTTCAAAATAGCTTGGAGTTTTTGCACCTAGGAAATATAGGTTTAATAAATGACTGAATTAAAACTGCAAGGCTTCAAATATTTATTTTTCAATTTCCTTAATTCTAAAATCCTTGTTTCCTACCTCAGGTCCCAAGCAGAGAGCATTTGTAAAAAACATCTTTCTTCAATGACCTAGAGATTGAGTTCTCCTTGTTAACTCAGTGACATATACACTTCTAAAGTCAACTTTTAGTGTGCAACCCTTCTGTTTAGTGAGTGTTATTAAACAGACCTCACTTAGAACCATCCTTCTAGACAAGGACAGTTCTGCACACCAGTCATGCAGAGCTAACCCTAAGTAAGCACAGCTATATAAGCAAATCTGACTGTAAGATCAAGTTTTGCAGTCAACTTCTAACCACTAAACACAGTGTTTAATGCTATTTTTTCCCTTTATGTATCTGCTTCTAATTCTTTTCTTATTTCCCTAGTTTTGACATCCACTGAAGTAGAAAACTATTTAGGCCTGGTCTCAAAATGAAAACATTTCATTTCTGTAAATTTTTAACACACTGATAATTTTTAGTGTCTCCAGGTTTTGCAGCATATACTTTAAGACACATCCTAAATGGGGGAGGGGGGAAGAAACGTCCATTCTCCTCAAAAAAATTAGCTAAGTTTTGTCAAGTTTTTGTAAAGTCCCTTACATAGAAAGCGCAAACATTTTCCATATAGGAAAAGACTGGCATTTAAGTTGTTTTAGGTTGTCTCTCAAAGTACAAACCACCTCAGTGTTGAAGAGCTGATAATTCACCCTGAAATTGGTCGTCATCTCCTGATGCAGAGCTGCACAGCAGAAACATGAACAAAAGACACTTTCTCCTGAATTCACATCATTCCCTTAGTAATAAAGCAACTTCAGGAGAAAAAAAGATAAATTAGTACGGAGGGATGAACAATTAAAAAAAATACATGGAATAAGATTGCAAGGAATGGAGGAGAAAATCCAAGTCATTAACACATAATCTCTCCCATCACTTGAAAGATAAATCAAATTCCAAAATATCTAATTGTGTGCCAGCAGAGAAGGCACTTCTTCCAAAACTTGTTGGCCCAAGCAATTCAGGCTCCAATTCTGCTGGAGCAGAATACACTCCATGTATGGCTTCAAAAATTTCCAGGTCTGCTTTGCTGACATTTTGAGCTGGCCAGACAAAAGCTATGTTGAGAGTTAGGATATATTAACTTCAGCTCAAACACTCTATTAACAGGACTACATGGCTTCTGGATCAGAGCTGGCTCACTTCCAATCAGGTCAGAGTCCATTCTGACTAGCACGCAACTGCCTGCACAATCTGTGGAAACATATCCCGTGATTCCCTCAGGACATGCTATGATTTTTCCAGGAGGTGAGGGGCTGGGGGGAGAGCTGCTTTGTAATTTAGACTATTACCTATGAAAGAGTTGCTCTCAAGGAAAGTTGACAAATTCAAGCAATCAGAAGTCAGAAACCCCAGAAATTGAATTTTCAAACAGTTGCACCGTTTTGCATTTTTCATAAAGTTGCACACAAAAATGCATGCAATCGTGAAGTTAGATTATTATAGAGTGCAAAGGACCAAATTAAGGTGCCTAAATTAAGATGCCATGCTTCAGTTAACTCCTAACGTTAGGGTGATTTGACTGTTACCTATTGACTTTTTAAAACATTTTCATACATACAAGAAGAAATTTAAGTTTTATGTATGATCATCAGGAGCTTTTACATTTTAGATCTAAAACATGCTGCATTGAGGGTCTTTCATTTTGCATTGATTTATGCATTTCTTTTATTGGACAGCTTGAGAAATCTGTTTCTGAGTCAGTCAAAAAAATCTCCCTCCATTTGGTTACCTCTTGCTAAACTAGGTTTCAAATATGTTCCTGTTTGCACAGAGGTCATTGATAACTCTCAGATGTTAACTCCACAAAAGTTCCAGAGAACAGTTCCCTCACTCTGATACTGATGCTTAAGGAAGAATGTCAACTGACAAGTTAATTCTCTTAGAGTGAACAAGCAATTCTAGAAGTATTTTCATCCAGCAACTGTTACAAGACATCCCACCCCCATTTTTAAACACCACATTTTAATGAGGGGAAACTCTCCCTGTTTCTGCATGACCAACGGACAAAGGATAAAAAAACCCAAGTGATAAGGCAAAATGACTTTTGGTCAAAAGTAAAAAACTTCACAAAATGAAAACAAACAAAAAATCAGGGATAAAACTACTGTAGTCTTCCAAAAAGTACATAGGTATTACTTGTAAAAGCAAGTAATGAAGTTCAGATATAATAAAATGGATAAATTCACATTATCTAAATAGAAAAGTAAGTGTGCAGGAAAAATTTACCTGTTCTTCAGTTTTCAGATCACCAAATTCTTGCATGAATGTGGTTTCTGATGGGAAGCGACCTGGTTCCAAGAAGTGAAGTAAGCTAAATAGCTCTTCTACTGTATTTTGCAAAGGGGTTCCAGTAAGCAGCACTTTATGTTCCTGAAAGGTTAAGAAATAGTTGCCTAGGAATCCATCTAAATTCATTTTGAATGGGGAAATACACAAGATTATGTCTTTTTTTTCCTATATGTCTCTCATCTTTGCTTCCTCTCCCCTCCCTCAACTACTTATATATAGCTCTTTTCAAGACATCTCTAACTAGTATTCTGGCCTTCCTTCAGCGATAGCCCAGAAAAATACTTCACTACTTGAGCACCTTCAAAAGTCCTCCAGATACAAGAAGAGATTTTACTGATCCACAACGTCCCAGCCCTTTCACAAATACAATGAACTAAAATAACAACTGAACTTATCCCATCACTTCCAGTATAAATCCATTGATTTACCACACCTCCAATAGATCTCAGTGCATGAATCTCTTCAGGGCAGGTGTTAAGTTTCTAACATAGGAAACCTGAAGCAGAGTCCTACTTTCTATCTACACACAACAGAGCATGAGACTAGCAGAGACAAGAGGAAAAGTTGCATATTGCTTTAGAGGAGGAGCCCAGAGATGTTAAGCAACTAGCCCAAGGTCAAACATGAATTTAGTAGTAGAACAAGAACTGAAGTCAGAAGTCCCATATCTCCATCTATAGCCACACCTATAAGCTCAGCTTTCCTCTAATAGCAACCATAGTAAGGAAAATAAATTGCATACAGAATTTTTACAAACTTTCATTTGTTAAGCCTCAAAACTCCTTCAAGAAAGTATTGTTTAAGAAACAGGGGAAAAGAAACTAAAAGTGACGTATAGGTCACCAGTGCTTGTGCAAGCTAATGTTTATGCCTCTTTATTCTTATCAGAAATAAGAGGTTTTGAGTTCCAGGTGTTAACTTCGCATGACTACATTCCTCTCACATTATTAAAAAAATCTCCTGACCAAAAGAAAAAAAAAAAAATAATTAATTTTTTTGCCATTTAAATGGCAAATACCTTTAAAAACCATCATCTTATTTTTCTCTGTGTGCTTAATACACATATTTTGTGCACATAACATAATACACATTTATGTAAGCATCAGAAACCAACTCACTTTTCCCTTCCTTAGTCTGAAAGAACATCCGTATGGCCACACAACAAATTAACATTAGAGTTGACATTAAGGCAGAGCAGTTTAACTCTCACACCCATATGTGGCTACCTGACGACATTATATCTTTAAATAAATGTCTATGTGAAGAAGTGACTATGGAGTAAGTCACATGAAAAGAGAGAAAGGAAAGAACAAATTTATCTTGATTCTCTTAACAGAATCCACACAATTCTAGGTCTAAATCAATGAAGAAACTTATGAAAGCACTCCAAAATTGGAGGTATGCATATGCTTCCAGGTATTTTAAAGACTTTCTCAGCTGCATTCCCCTCATTCTTCTTAGCACTTGATGATTTTACTTGAGAAGAAAAGCTTTAATTTTACTTTTTGATGAAACCATAAATCAGGAGTAATAAAAATACAGAAGATGCAAATGTAAGAGATGTATACACTGACCAGGTCCATCATCTTGAGTCCTTCCAAAAGCTTACAGTTCCTGTTTTTCAGCCTGTGGGCCTCATCGATGACCACGCAACGCCATGGAATGTTACGCAGCTCCGGGCAGTCAGTCAAGATCATTTCAAATGTTGTGATAATGGCATGGAACTTGTAGGTCCCCTTTATCACACGACCCTAAAAAGAACAGCAAGTTAAAGTAAACTCCCTGGCAAAGAAAGGAAATATATTTGTATCACCTTCAAAATTCATTCTTTAAAAATACAGAACACTACAATGGGCAAGATATTTTAAGTAAATGAAGTCATTATTGCTGACTTAACGAGGGAATACAAATGTGTAAGTTTACTACTGGCTTCATGCTAGCTATGTTTTTAATCCTGTAAAAAGGCCCACAGAATCACTGCATATTCATTACAAAGATGTTATACAACTATTTCAGTCGTAATTCATATGGATTATACTAATGCCTTGAGGCATTCATGTATTGCTGCAATATTTAAGTAAGGTTTTCACACTTTGTCAAGAGAATTTTTTCTTTTAAATCAAAGGTGTGTGGCGGTCCTCCAAACAATCCAAATAAGCCAGAAGTACATTAAGGTTTTGTTTTAATGACTATTAGAATATTTTGCTCCCAATAAACAGCAATTTTTTCCTGGTGGACATCAAGTACCCAGAACACCTACAATTCTAGTAAACAGCTTTGAAAAGAAGCAAATCTCTGAACTCTTAAATGGAGAATGTATATCTCTGCATATATTTCCTTGTTATTTTTGTAAACTTGTGTTAAGGAAAGTTCAACAGGACGATTTACTTGATGTCTATTCATATTCACTATTTATTTTGTTAGTTGAGGGTCTTATTTTCAGTGCTGATACTAAGACTCTGTTTCAAAAAAAACCCTGAAAAAACTTTACCCAAGATCATGAAATGAACACCTTTTGACATTGTGCTGTATTTCTTCCCAATGTTATTAAAAAAAAAAAAAAAAAGTAACTTGGTATCTCCAGAGTCACTTGGTCTGTGCAGAAACACTGTCTCTCTAAGGATGAGCCTCACACAAGTTCAAAGCCATTCCATGTTTTCAAAGCAGGACTATGTCGTGGGTTGTATATTGAATACATTTCAAAAGAAACAGATATTTTACAGTAAGATGACCATTTCTTCCTTCAAATACGTGCAAGTCTGAATCCTTTTATAAGTGACCTGCATATAATCCTCTCCAAACTGTGGGGATCAGAACTAGCTACTGACTCAATAAAATGATTGGAAACCTGATATCCTGAACTCAGCATTAAATGTGCCTATGCACATCAAGAGTATTTCAGAGGAAGTAATGACCTGCTCAACAGTGCTTTCTCGTGGCATAGTCCAGAAACATTTATCATCTTAGGGAGAAAAAGAGTTGTTACCTAACAAAGAGCAGATGAAGATACACTAAGTGGGCAACTTAGAAAGCCAGCAAACTGAAATGCTATAACCTTTTCATGAGCCAGATATAACTGTGAAAATATGAGAATGCAGCCCAGGAGATTCTTTCCACGTAGTGGAAAACACTTAATGAGCAACCTCATGACTGTACGGCAAGCAGTGCTCTTCAAAAATGATCACTACATAAAGCAGCACATCCAGGTGAAGCAAAAATCGTAAGAGACTCTTGATTATATATTTAGAGCTGCCTAAATCTCACATTAAAATATGCATAGTGGTCTTGCCACAAGAGCTCACATTATTTGAAAGACTGTCAAATGCTATACTGAAGAACACAGAAGTAAATCAAGCAGAAAGTTCCAAGACCTCTCCATGAGCTTTAGAAGGTGAATGACGTTGTTCTTGAACAGTTTCAGGCTTCCAACACTTGGGGAAGTATGGGGAACAATCCTAAGTAATCCTATTAACGTCACATTTGAGAAGTGTAAATGTAGAAACTATCAGGAAAGTGACCTAGAGCATTGCCAAGGTGAATTCTTGGGCAACTAGGAATCAATTTATCCTGTTTCAGTGTGGCATCCAAATGAATTTCGCTGATGTTGGAATCACAGGAATTTCATATCCATTTACTCAGAGAAGTTCTTCCATTCAAGGAAATCAATCTTCCTAATAGGTAGCAGTTTCCTGTTCTGTTTGGGAAATTCTTCTGGAAGTAACTCAAGCAACAGAGGTAGCCACAAGGTACACCAATTAGATATGAATATAAAAGTTGGGCTATGTTTCGGGGTATTACCTCTTAGCAGATACAAGCTGAGAAGATCAATTGGATGTGTATAAGAAGCGGACTTCTAAAAACATGCACATCCCACCAATGGGAACTGTGAAAGATTATTATGGTCTTTTCCCACCAACCTCAGACTCCACTTTGAGGAACAAGAGAACAGATGCAAGAAACATGCATGTTAACCAATTACAGCCGGAAGGCATCTGGAAAACTAAGTCGCAGCCACTTTGTAAAATGCAATTTGACTTCATCTTTGGTGAAAGACAGAGTCCCTGTTGGTAAAATACTGCCTTAAACTGCTGCACGCTAATCATTCTTTGCAGAAATCTGAGGTAATCCTATGCTGATGACATGTTCATAGCTCAGTAGTTTCTCAGCAAGGAAGAAAACCATGCAGGCAAGAAAATACTCTCTTAAGCCAAGACCCACTGAGCCCAAAAGGAATGAACCAGGTAAGCCAGAAAAAGTAGTGAACATCAATAGCATTACTTTGAGTTAAAAATCAACCACGGACAAGGTGTTCCGTTTCTACATGTGAACCAGGTGGTTTCTCTTTTTAGTCATTATTACACTGCAAAGTAAATTTCACTCACAAACAAGTCAACTCTTTTGCAGGGCTCTGTCATTAATTTTATTTGGCATATATAGTTTTCCTGATCTTACAACAGAACTCTTTCTCAGAGGTAGAATAGTACAGAAAAGCAACTGGCTTATTTGATATTCTAACCAGGGAAGGCCCCCAGAAGGACCTTTCAGTTATATTGCTCAAGAACACCAGAAAAGGCTTCCCTACGTGACCCTCACAAGCAGGAAGGCAGGAAGGGATTTTAGGGGAATGTCTCTGGTAGCATAGTGTCCTTAGTGTTGAAGTCACACCACTGCAGAAATGTATTTTGTTATTGACTGCTCTCTAGCTTTTCATAACAACTTGACTCTGGTTACTGATGTTGACTCTGAAAAATCACACTACTGCAGATGGGCTAGGTGCTTCTTATGCATGCTGTCTCGTATTATTGCCCTTCAAAGCCACTCAGATTTTCCCAGTGTTCAATTGTCTTTTTGAGAAACAGCTCAGCTTGAGAGGCCTCTTTTCATGTTAAGACCTAAAAAGCCAAAGATGCCGATGTCTGTGTTGATGTGTTTGGCAAGGGGACTAGAAATGATAGTGCCAAAGCCTGCCTTCTTTCTCTCCCTCCTCGTCCCCCACTGTACACCCACTGATGGTACTTTAGAGGATGCCATACTGAACGCTACATGGGGATTCTTTTTGTCAGAACACGAAGAGATTTTTTTCCCAGAATTCAGTTTCTACCATGCATTTCACAGCTGACACAGTCTTGCAAAGAAGGTGATTTCATGACACAGCTAAGCTAGCTGCCACCAAAAGGACGAGTTCACTCCATTTCTCCTTTATCCCCAATCATGGCAATTGTCTGATTTTCCTCTTAAGCCAGTTCAGGGAGCAAAGCTAGCAAAAAATGATTCATTTTCCTGTGCCATGAGTGCTTTGTCATTACTCGCTATGGGGTCAAATAACTGCCATGGTCATTGCAAGAGGCGAGTTAAGAATACGGCAACAGAGGGAACAAAACTTTCTGCAGCATCTTGCTTTAGAACCTTTCAGTTGTCTTTAGATCAATGAAACGATACTGCCAAAATAACACTAAGAATCTGCACAGTAAATCGATTTTTCTGATGATGTTTCTTCAGGTTTCATGCTACGTAACTGCTGCATCCTAAGGGGAAGAACGTGCAGAGAAGAAGCACAGCTTAAATAACAAACAAACATGATTTTTAACACAGGAAACACTTCAGTTGAGACAGTATTTGCATAAACCCAAATTTTTAGATTTGATATAAAATATCTCTCTCTGATAAGAAATAACTTTAAAACCAGAAAAAGTACAAATCAATTCCAGGTCATTTGTGTATAATGTCTAGGTAAGAAGCTAAATGTGATTACTATCGTAAGGAATAAGCCATTAGACCTCAGTGTAGCAACTGTTATTCAAATCAATCTTAACAACAACGTATATGATTTTGATTTGAAAATTTCTTTGATGAATTGCTGTGAAAATGGTTACTTTCTAGGCCAAACAGATGTAACTTCTAACTACTATAAATTACTACTTTTTCTACTATATTTAAGTGTTTTTCTACTATATTTAAGTATGTGATTCTATATCTAGTGTTTTTCTACTATATTTAAGTATGTGATTCTATTTCTGTTTGCCCTAATGGCATGTCAAGTTGTGCCAGTCATCACCTTCAGAAGAGTTTTTACTCAGTTCTTTCCCTGTAAAAGCGTATTTTCTATCTCGCAACCACCCTCATAGCTTTGCTCTAAGGACTCCGCTTTTTCAACACTCATTTTGAGGACAGGAAGTGAGAATTAGGCAGAACTGGACTAACCACCACATTACTGACAAAGAAAAGAATGCTCTAACTTTTCTACCCTTTAATAAAGATTTCTTTCCTCCTACACACTTGTACTACACTAGCCCTTTTAACCACAGTCTCTCAGTGTGAACTCATGTTTAACTGATCGTGTGTCATGACACACAAGGATCTGCATTTGTCTTACAGCCTTCCCAGAACCGAGCTCTCCCTACTGTAAGAATCATCTCCCTTCCTTTTCCACAATAGCCCTATATTTAGCTATTCTGAGTATTGTTAGCTTGGATCCAATTTATTAAGTAATACAGCTTACTCTGTATCCATGAACTGTCTTAATTATTTACCACTCTCCCCATCTTTGTGTCATTTGAAAACTTCCTCAGTAATGATTTTATGTTTTCTTTCAGGTCATTGATAAAAGTGTTATATAGCTCACGGACACAAACCAATCCCTGAAGAACTACACTGGAAATGCAAATCATTTCTCATTTACAATTACATCAAGAAATATCAGTTAGCCAGTTTTAAATCCACTTAATGTGTGCCATATTGATTTTACATCATTCTAGTTTATTAATCAAAATATGCAGCGGCATAAAATCAAATGCTTTACAGAAAATCTAAAAATATGAATTCACCACTATCACTTCTTTAAGCTCAGCTGGAAATAATACTCCACAATATATCAAATCAGGTTGAACTTCCACTCTTTTTTCTCTTACGTGAGGAGGATTATGTTGTTTTGCAATAACATTCAATGTATGCATATTATTTTCCCCCAATCCTGTTTACTTACACTGGGCAAAGCCATGCATTTAAGTGTAGAGATCTGTTGCTCTTTATAGCTTCAGTTTTCCAAATAATTTTCTGTTTCTACCCCCAATCTTTTCTGTACGTGCTTTCCTTCTCTCGTAAGAACTATTCAACCTGAGCGCAGTAACACAGATTCAAAATGTATCTGACTTATAAAATCTGATAAAGAAGCATTGACAAGTTTAATTTCTGCAAGCTGGTCTTTTCCTGGAATGGTAGGCAAAGATTGATTTTTAAGCTTAGTTCCAACTAAAGTAGCTTCTCCATTAAGAATCTTTTCTGCCAGCTCTCCTCAGGACACAAAATAATGAAAAACTTGCATAAAACAATGAAACCCTGAACAAGAGTTGCACCATCTCAGTAACTCTTGGTCCCCCTCTATTTCCAGCTGATCTCTTGGCTACTATTAAAAAAGCACTCTCTTTATTAATACATATGCCCTCATTATTAGCTAAACCCTACTATATCAGTACTAAAAACCTAATTGATGCTTGGATTAATAAAAAAAGAGTAAAGCATATACAAAAAAGACAAAAAAGAAAAATCACGAAGAGCTTTTACCTGTGGATCTTTGAAATACATTTCATACAACTGAATGGTCCGCCGGCTTGCTTGACTCCCATGATACACAACCACATTCAACTCTGTCCAGGTACGGAACTCCCTTTCCCAGTTGGGAATTGTGGACAACGGTGCAATAACCAAGAAAGGACCATGGATTCCTTTCAAATATATCTCATAGAGAAACGTAATGGACTGGATAGTCTTCCCCAACCCCATTTCATCTGCTAAAATGCAGTTTCGTCTGAAAACAATAATAAAAGCCACCTGAATGATTTATTCCTAACTTAAAACATAGAAAATCAGTAAGGAGCTAAACTGAATAAACCAGAAATTTCTAGAATGGCAAGTTTACACTGAAAAGACATCATAATCTTTTTGCATTTTGAATAAATGTTATGATTTGTGATGCAATAAGCACAGATATACCCATTTTATGTACCTCTCAAGTTCACATGGGGGAGGAAGGGGCAGCAGCGGTGTCCATGAACACATAAACATGCAAAAGCATTTGCTACAAGAACCTATCTAAATTATTAATGTTTTATGTAACATTATGTTATCCACCCAAAATTAGTTTGTGTATGACTCCTGCAGCAAAAAATGAGACATGTAAATAATTCTAAAACCTCGCTTTAGAAAGGTTATTGTTTCAAATAAGCTACAAAAGCTTTTCCAAAGCAGGATTCAGTAGTAAGCAATATTTTACGTACGTGTTGTACCAATTGAAAAGAAGCCAGTTTACTCCCTCCAACTGGTATTCCCTGAGTTTGTTATTGTTTTTATACTCCCTGGAACTCTCCGATTTCTTCCAGTCATCGGCAGGAGGTCGCTCCTGTTTCAAATATAGCAAATCCCATTAGTGGTTTCTAAAAGACCACATTACTTTACTATTTTCAAATAAAATCCTCTATACGGAGCCAATTCTTACCACACGCTCTATTTCTGGCTCCCTAGACATCAGTTTCTCAAATTCTTCGATCTTAGCTTGGTCGATGTCTTGCTTGAGCTCCCAAGTGCTGTCTTCATAAGGAAGTGAACACCATTTCACCAGATAATGCGTTACAGGCTTTGTTAAGACAAAAATAAGATTACATCACAGTTTAGAAAGAATGAAAGTATAACCATTTTTACAGGAGAACTGCCGGCTAGATACAATTCAAAAAGCTTTACCAGACCTGAATGTCTGAATCAGCCAAAAAGATAAGCAAACAGCAGGCTGACACCTTGACAACCTAACAAAGTAAGATCAGAACACGGGGAATGCAGGCTTACCACCAAAATGAGCACAACACTACATTTGAAATCACTAAGGTTAGACTAAAATTTAGAAGTAAAACAATATTCGTTTTCCAACTGTTACAATTTCTATGCTTTACCACATATTTAAACAGTCAACTGTTTTTTCTTATCAATGTCATCAGAAATTTCCCAGCAGGCAACCCAACTGCCACCATTCACTGACAGAGCAATATGGAAACACTGACACTGTCAGTGAAGCTTTCTATTCTCTCAGGACCAAAAAGGAGTCTCCTGGAAGACAAAGTGATCTTGTTCTGCAGAACAAGTCATTAAAAAGTAAGAAACAGTGTATTCAGGACCTTTTCTGCAACAGATAGTCTAAACAATGTCTAAACTATTATGACATTTAGCGAAGATTCTTGCAATTTTCATTTAAATTCTGCATTACCTGCATGGACATCATATTTCTACAGTATTAAGTACCACCTTAGATCCACATATCAGAGGTTCTTTTCGTTGGTAGTGGGGTTTTTTTTTTGTATTTTTTTAAATATAGGTAACATAAGAAGTTTGGAATTCTCACTTAAACCCCTTTATTTTAGGGAAGCTTCTGAATATATTCACTTTTCTAAACAATAAATTCTAAACAATAAATTCTATGACTACAGATGCACTAAAAGTTTTTTTACCTCTCCATTATCATCTGTGCTACGTGAAAAATCCATGATTCGATCAACTTCCACATAATCTGGATTAAAAAGCTCATCATCAATCTGTTCAAGGAGAGAGGTAAAAATACAAAAGATATCTCTATTAGCCCTTCCTGAGAGGAAAAATTATTATATATTTCACCAGGCAATAATATTTTGGGTCACGGTGACATAGAATTTATATTTGGCAAACTTCAACATGTTAATTGAAATGCTACCATTCAGCAAGATCATTCCCCGTGAGGGAATCAGACTTCTCAGACTTTGTTAACTGGGCCTCTTAATTACTGTGTGAAACCTTTTACTGTGAGAGAATGTTTAAGAATATTTTAAATGAAGTGTGAAATTACAATTCACTAATGAGCAATCGAAAAGGCTTATGGCATGCAATGCATTTAGCATTCTTGAAAACTACAGCTTGCAATAAAGAAATTAAAGCCTTGTACACTAAGTGCCTTTGGATTACTTTAACTACAGGAACTGTCTAACTGCTTTATAAGCAAGATTCAATGATTATTATTTCAAAAACAGAGAAAGAACACTGCACGCATACACAGTTTCTCCAAAAATCACAATTTGTTATGCTCTTTCTTATCCCTTCAACAACTTACAGGATTCTCTTGCATATTAAAGGGTTGGGTTTCATTTTTTACTTTTAAAATCCCCTCCAATAGAAAAGGCAGACAAAAGGACTAAAGACTATGTACATTTTGATAGCTTTTTCTAAAACAAGAACAAATTCCAAGTATTTACAATAACTTGTGACAGACTTGGAAACAGATTAAAAAAAAAAAAATTTAAAAAGAAGCAATTGCAGGCATCTTCACTTAGAACAGATGAAAGTTTTCAATTTGCAACAGGTTATGTTCAGCTTGAACTATGTAGTAAAAATAAATATAAATAAATAAACACAGTAGCACATGAACCTGTTTTTTTCCTCAAAAGACAGCATTTTACTGAACGGTAAGCTTTCAGAGACACAAATCAGCAGACCTGGTCTTTTATTGACAGGACCCCTGCCACACTACTGCTTATGGCTCTAAGTGAAATTAAATTGATGATAAAAAGCTTAGAATCCCTAGTGAGCAGCAGTCCATAACACAGAAAAATGTGATTCATTTTTCCAGCATAATCAGCTCCTGAGAAGAGACCTGGTACTGATTCAGTAAGAGTCATGCTTACAATGCAAACAACTAACCATTCACTTTAAGAAAAAAACAGTAAAAAAATCATTTAAGAAAAAACAAACTACAGTAAAAAGTATACAGTCAGGATAGACCACTTGAGTTTCATAAACTTGCAAGAATTGGATCAAGAATGGTTATACTTTATACGAGAACAAATGCTACCGATATATCACACAGTTGTTCAAAATCATCTGCTTGTATACAGAACAAGAATTCATAAGAATATTCCTTAAATACCTAAAAGAAAGAAAGAAACAAACAAATCGTACTTCTGAAAGGAATTTGTTCTGGCCCTGTTTTGCCTTAAACCGCTTAATCTTCTGCTGAATTCTCTTGTCTTTGTCCAGCTCTTCCACAGATGCCCACTGACAATGAAGGTAAGAACTAGAAGATGAAACAGAAAATCTTACTCAAAACGATGCTTCCGTTGCATACTCCTATGTATGCCACTAGCATAGCTAGACCTTTCCAGCACATTGTAGTGCCATGCTTGGAAAACTGGACAGCATCTTCTTCATCATACAGGTTATTAACAAATCATCTTTACTGGAAGTAATTATACTTACTTATTAACTTACTACTTACTTATCAGTAAATAAAAACAACTCCCACTCAAAATTTAAATACATACCCCATGCATTTACTGTTTGGCACGAAGCTAAGATGATTTTTAGTGGGCATACTTAAAACACAATTACTATACAAGACATGTATCATAAATGTACTATTTAACATCATATTCTAGCAAAGAATAGGGTTTTTAGATGTTAATTAAAATACGCAAACATTTTAAATAGTAACATGCTATATACACTGGTTTTTGTGAGAACAGCATTGTAATTAAAAGTCGCATACGAGTCAACTGAAGTTTTAACACTGATAGAAAGAAAAGAAAAACCCTTGTAAATGCAGTTCCATGGTAATAATTCATCTTTAAGAAAACACAATGTAAGGAACAGCATCTCTGCCAAAATGACTAGTCCCACTTCATAAATTTAGGGTCTGTCAAAAGTCATACTGCCAAGATGTCCAAGACACAAATAGTTAATACAAAAATTACATACCAGTGTAATAAAACTTAAACAAAGCATAATTAAGCTATTAAACATCATGCAATAATCAATATAGTGCAAAAGGTACAAAGGTGGCAGCATATTTAAAGTGAAGTCACCTATCTGCAGTTAGCTGTAAGAAACTCCCTTTAAGCTAATTTCTGTCCCTCAGATGGAAAAATTTCCTAAAATTAAACAAGATATGCTATTTTTTAAAAGAAAAATGAGCTTATCCAGCTGTGAAGTATCTTATTTTAAATACTGATTGCATTGCAGTTTCAGAGCCCAGAAGCAAAACAACATGCTGCTCTACTATTACACTCTACTATTACCACTATTACATCCCTCTTACAGAGGGGCAGCTATCTGCTGGAATATTGGAAGCCGTCTTGTTTGTTATCTTAGACATTTTGTTGAACACAGATCTTGTTTTTGAAACCACGTTAAGGGTTATTTTCGAGTAGTTTGCAGGCACGTTACTCTACGGTTGCAGTTAGATCTACACAGCTACATAGGTATGTGCTCATGAATCTGCATGCATAATGAGCCCTAGATTAAAGTTTTTAATAGCAGAGCACTTTTACCTATGGATTTCATTTTGGAGAGAACACAAATTAAGACGACACTATCAAACCCAGCACCACCAATGCAAGGTATTTCCCTGTTTATTTGCCACTGGTTTGGATTCAACATTAGAAGTGTTTAAAGCTGAATAGTTAACAGTTACATCATTTACAAAACCAGTTTTTAAGAACTATTTGGAAGTTACGTGAACTTAAAGATAGTAATCAAACCTGTAACTTTACTTACAAGTTTTTGTACTTTACATAGAATTCCTCTATTTCTACCTCCTCTCCATTCTCCATCTATAAGAAAAGAATTGTTGAAATGTGAATTAAACCACTAAACAGCCCAATTTAGTTAATGATTAAAACTAACCAAAATACAGTCCCCACATAGAGAGACAAGTGGAGGTGTAGGAAAGCATTTGTAGGAGGAGGACATGCGTGAGGAGTTTCCTCCAGCAGCTTACCCAAGTACATACTGCACTGCTTACTACAACTTCCAAGACATGAATCATTTGAACTCCTCCCTAACCACATGCAGCTTCATTCACAACCTCACCCCAAATCTGGCTTTCTGCCAAACCCACAGTGTTAAGTAGAAGCCAAGTGTACCATTTTCTCAGGCAGCAGCCAATTAGCAACTGCACTCCTGAATGCCATATGTATTATTTTTGGCTGGCTCATGGCAACTTTACATTGTGGGTTTTGTAATGTTTTAAAAAAGAGTTTTAAAGGGGGTTTATTCCTCCATATAGTTAATAACTCCAAACAAGAAGCCATATAAAACTAAACCTTATACCTCTGCTAGAATTTTAGTGCATCAGTGTTCATGGCTTTAGTTTTACTCAATGGTGCAATTAAATTCACTCAGGCAAGATGTCTCACATACAGAGCAGCCAAATTAAATTAACACCCAAAAACTACATTTAAAGCAAGGTTAAAGTTGTGATATAAACCAGCAAAACCAAGGGCATTCAGTGCTAAGGGTTGAGACTACCCTTAACTCATCCCTAGTGCCAAAGTATTGCATAACATATGGCATGTAATACTTTGTTGAATTACTCCTGAACCCAGCCATAGGACAAACTAAGGACAGTGCACCCGGCACAGGTTTAGAATTCAGTTTATGTCACAACATTAACGGTTTGTGTTTACTAATGAACTTTGGAACAATTTTAAATAGAAGAGCATTTTCTGTTTTACATACTTCATCAGCGACAACAACATCTGTAATAAATATTATACGCAGCACTGAACAGACAACCTGTTGACCCCTGTATAAGTCAACATCCTCCATCTTTTATATATATACACACTATATATATATATACACACACATAAAAAAAAATATAAAAAGAGGGAAAAAAATATATAAAAGAGACTATTCTGAAGCTAGCGGATGATTTGTCATCTTCCAAATTCTCTCTAAAGAGAAAAGTTACTGGCTAGACCTTACTTCCATAGCAGTGCAATTAAAGAACAACAGTAGCAACTGCATTAAACTCTGTTCTAGCACAGTAAAGAAAAAGTTAATGCATTCCTAATCCCTGATTTACATAGTATTCCTTCTCTTCCAGACTAGCAAGAGGTTTTATCATTTTAGCGTTTATATCATTCTAGTACAGTCTTGCTTGTGTTCCTTTCTAGAGAGCGGAGCAACACCAGCTTCCATCTAGTTCTCCCTGAAGAAATGGAAGCAGATAAGGTATTCCTGGTGCTACTTCTTGATATTCTTGAATCCTCTGTTGTAGAAGATAAACTATTCCCTGACCCTAAACACAGGGAAGAAGCTCCTCTGTCACTTACAAAGATACTGTCAAAGGAAGGAATTTGAAGACCATAAAGATCTTTTTTTTTTTTTTTTTTTTAAATTTAAAAGGGAGTATTTCTCAAGAAGGTATTCATATTTAGAGGTCAAAACTGTATTTAAAAAAAAGTATTAAAAAATTGAGATCCCGTTATCTGAATCTATTCACTAGCCTGAGGCAAAATCAGACTTTAAGAAGTCATCCCTAATTTTAAGACATTAACTTTTTTGTTTTCTGAAATGTACTATGGCCAAGTCTCTTTCATTAGTTTTAAATCAGAATCCTTTGAGATACATCAATCTTACCATGCCAACATGGTTAAACACCTTTATATAAAGGTTTCATATTAGCCAATTTAACTCCCCTCAACAGCATTTCAGTCAAGTATATTTTCTGTCAACTGCCAACTTAATAACAATAATTTACAATGTAAACCTTGATAAATCCTGTAACTCCCATGAGTAAAACGTACTTTTGTATTGCCTAATAGGTAATAACTGGTCTATGTTGTCATATGTTCTATGAGTGTGCATCACAGGTTCACCTAAATAAAAAGTATTTCAGAAAAAAATCTTTTTAAAATCTTACTCTGGCATTCACATTTATGGCCAAAAAAAAAATTCTAATCAAGTTACGATCACCAGCACTCAAGTACGGTTTAACAATACATCAGTTTAGGATATATGAGACAGAAGCTTATGCCTTTGACGTCACTGTCCAACCCCCACTACATGTACGTTTATATTAACCAGGTAAAAAGGTGAGACGGAACATTTATGCAAAGTTCTCCCAAAACTGATTACGCAGACATCCTAGAATAGCGCATGGCAGACTTGGGCAACGCAGGACACTTCAAATTATCATTGCCCAGGTGCGACCACAATTGACAATCTGATCCATAGCCTCTGCAATAAGTGATCCCTTCCTTCAAGCAAATACTTAAGAGCACACAATCTTGCACTTCTGTCATTGCCGCAGAAGTGATACAGTAATACCTGCTAATGCAAAAGTTATTTGAACAAGCCACTCGGATTTAGAGACAAGAGGGAGCTTAAAAAACAAAACAACAAAACAACGGAAATATCAACTGCTAGAAGAACAGCAGACAGAACATATTAGTAACAGATGCAAAGCCACATATAAAAAACCAATCACCTCAACTGATACACAGCGCTACATTGTAAGCTAATCAGTTTGTGGAAGAGATGTAGGCATTTGTACACAGTTCAGTTAGATCTAATTCTCACCATGTATTGGTAGGCAAAAAGAGAAATTCAGATGTGTTAACATGCAGGTATAACATTATACAAACTCCTCATCTTTCCATAATATGTGCTATTTGTGCTGAATAGCATATTTCGTTCTAGCCATTCCTTTTCAAAGTTAAGGAGCAGAAATTCAAAGGGGACTGAAGCTGGCCAAGAAAATAATTAGAAAAATGAAAAATTTCCACATACAAACTGAAGACATCAGGACCGTGATGGTTTGGAAAGAGAGTGATACATGTACTTAACACTTCCTGCAAGAGGGAAGAGTATTCAACAGAATTCAAAATTCCATGTTAAGAACAACAGATAAAAACATTGTCTTTTACACTTCAAACATGAACTAAAGTAATTTCTACCTTTTATTCTGTACATTTCAAAAATGGTTGCAAGTACAGTGCTGCATCATATCTGGTAACTCCAAAACTAGACTAAGGCTATTTTTGAGAAAACCAGCATAATTTTATGATAAGAATACTGCTCCAAAAGCGTATTATCTAATGTCCTTTACTCAAATGCAACATCTTTGTTACAACCTAATCCACTGAAAGGGTTCCTAGAGAAGCCTTTCCTCATGTTTATTTTATGCACTGGTCCTGATCGCAGCAATTTTACTTTGATTAGTAATCTAACAACCAGGGTTTTGATGACGCTAGTAAAAGTGTAAAAGACCTTTAATAAAAGCACAGTTGGATACTTCAGATGTTAAATATTAACATCCTGAAATCCCTTTTTTTTTTGGGGGGGGGGATTTTGGAGAGGAGGGTTGGGGAGAAGAGCAGGGAAAGAAGAGACAACCCTCAAACCTGCAAATACAATCCATAAAAAACATTAAAGAAAGAGCTCAAAATAGAGCTTGCCTCCAGCAGAGCTTGCAATCAAAGACATGTAGGCAGCAGACCAACCACTTCCCACAAACTGCAGCAAAATACACACTCCCCATGAGTAATCACACCTTTGTTTGCAGGGGAGAGGAAGAAGAGAAGAATAATTGGTGAAAAACAGCTTCCAATGTAAAGACATTTATGAAAAGACCACATTCTCCTCTCCTGCCTAGTAGACCATCAGGACAACTAATTACTGAAGTAATACATGAAGTTTATCTGAAAAATAAGCCTATGGTTTGAAATACAAAACATAGCTCTGGACTTCAAAAAAAGCCCTAGAGGTTTTGTGCTGTGAAAGCTGCAGAAACAGGTCAAATTCAATCACAGCCAGTCATGACATTGCATGAATTTAGGTTTACAAAGCTGTTAATGATGTTATGACAGTAGTAATAAAATTAAAAAACAAAAAAAATCCCCCCCCAACAAAACACCACAACATAAAAAAAAAAAAAAAACCCACATGAATAAAGGCAACTATCCCTCCTCCAATTTGAAAATTAACACTTTGAGGAAAAGAAATATTTCTGGTTAAGTAACAACAACATGAGTATCATATCTATATTAATCGGACAGTTTTCTGCCCAACTGCAGTACAAGTCACAGAATTAGCCACACAAAAGAGTCTATAAAATATAATAATGCCCTTTTTGGAACAAGTTCTTTTCTACTTCCTACTTGGAGTTTAATAGTTTGGAAGTGCAAAGGCCAATCAAGTTGTGAAGCAGATTAGAAGAATCTGCAAGCAAAATAAGAACATAACTAGCAACCAGGGCAGAATTAAAAGAGAACCACTTAACTAAAGAGGGTGTTTCTTTCACCATTTTAGCATAGTGACAAGGAAGATATTAACCACCTGTATATGTTAACATTCTTGATTGCATGTGAAGTTGTTTTAGCTGCTAAGCACAACCACTATCAAAAGATGCAAAAATTATGGGCAAGGATTTTTCTTTGATAGAAAAGGCAGAAACTTAGGATGCAGGGGAGTTCTCTTACTCCTCAAACTCCCAGGAAACATCACTCTGAACTGAAGAGCGCCATAGATTTCGCCCAGGTATGTATATTCGCAAAAATCAAAATTCTCATCTGAAGAAATGCAAGAAAAGAGTAGAAGACTAAACAAGTAATTGGTTTTGTGTATGTCCATCCAAAAGCACGTTAATACCATGTAAAGACATTTTCAGGGAACCTCCTCTATTCAATAAAACAGTTTTTTAATTTGGAATATGCAAGGTGTTTTAATAACTTAATAAAGGTTTCAGCAGAAATGTGCTTAGCCTGTTTAAAAATATGGTGGGAAAGGGTTTTGTTTTGTTTTACCTTTTTCTTGACTGAACGGCTACTCATGATTTTCTCCACAACAGGACCTTCAGCATCAGCAGATTCCTACATCATAAATACCATACAAATGAGTTATGGGAGTGCATCTTTGTTACTTAAAGACTTCCTTCATTAGAAAAACTCGAAACAATTTTTTTGCAACAGGAGTTTAATACACTGGAGGACTTTTTCCCCCTAGCATGAGAACTGAGAGGATTCAAATAGATTTAATACCATAATAAAGGATTGAAGGATACTTGTTTAAGCCCATTTTTAAGAGCTAATGCAACTCTAGCTCTCTCACTAAGGCTGACGTGCACAGATGCACAGATATAACCACATAGGCAGCTAGTTCATCCAAAATAACAGGTGCTTTCAGCACCATATAGCCTAAATACTAGATGTTGTTCAAAAACTCTAGCTGGCCGTGTAAGCGTCTACACGATAGCTATCAAAATTGCCTGTATTGCTCTATTACGCTATTACATTAATTCACTACTACAGCTGCAGGCAAACCTACCAAATTCTCCTTCTGATAAGACACAATTAACAATGGAGATCACATACAGTATTTCACAGGCCTTAACAAATTGCCAAATGAAATACCAAAGAACATGTATATATTCTCCAATAGGTCATCAGTTAGTTAAGTGAAGCAGTTCTTTGAAAAAGCACTACAAAACAATGAGATTGTAACAACAGTCATTCCTACATTATTACCCCTCATCTTATTCAAACTATTTTATCCATCATTTACATTGCACAGAGAATAAAGTGTACCCTGCTGGGTACTACAAGGCAGTAATTTCATAAAGGGATTCTTATGGTGCCTAGCAGCAGGGGACAAGCTTGAGTGGTTTATTAAAGTCACAGAAGCCAGACCACTGAATTCACAAGAAGTAAATTCAAGACTCCTAGCAGTCCAGTTTAGGTTTCATTTAGGTAGAGACCATTTAGGCAGAGAACAGTTTCAAAGAACTGTGTCAAATTGCATATCATCAGCTTGTAAACAAAGTCATGAATTAATATATTCTTTAGGAAGGTAAAAAGCTAATGCCTTCTGGAACACTGTGCCAACCATCGATGAATACCATTCAGGAAAAGGGCCCATATTTGAACTCTGAATGCTGCTGTTACAGCCATCTTTCCAGTCTGTTGATATCTGACCTGTTGCTCTGACTGAGAAGTATTTGAAGGAGAGTCTCTTCCAGCAGCATCAGCATCATCGGCCTCCTCATCTGAAATCTTGAACTCCAGGTCTTCTGTATAACGCTTCCTCTTCACCTGCCTGCTGGAGCGTCGCTTCTAAATAGAAAGCGTTGTTATTTTTCATGAGAAACAAAACTGATAGATTGCAGAATAACTGAGAAAACATCTTCATATTTCTCAAATACACCAGTGTGTAGCAAACACTATTATTTTTACAGCGCCCTGATAGAAATAGTGGAATCAAGATACTACTATTCTAAATTCCTGCCTATTAGCTGCTTTTGACTCCTGTTAAAAAAACAACAAAAAAACCCCAACCCACTTCATGCTTGTTCTGAATTGGAAAGTGGTATTCTTTTTTTTTTTTTTTTTTAGCATTACTAAAACCATGTTAGAAAATTAAAAAGCATATCTCAGAAACCAATTAAAATACACGGAGTTGCACCTCTCAATTCACGTCCACGACAAACTTTGACAGATGGCCAATGCAGGAACCAAACACCACCTTTCTGCAGCATGGCCCATAGTGTTGCTAAGCAGTGACAACACACTTTCTTGCTCTCCCCATCCGCCCAGTTGTACCCAGATTATCTTCTAGGGGAAATACAATGAAATACAATTTCCTCACTCCACTGACCCAGCGCTGTTCAGAAAGACATCCTGCAGCACAGCATGGGAAAAGACCCCAAACTAATAGACGAAAATGAAAAACTTGAACCACCCCAAATTGAAAACACGGTTTCTGTGCCCCCGTACTCTCATCTCCAGGATGAGAGAAAGCTTCGGAAAAATTGCAAAAAACAATCTGTAAAATACACAAAAGCATGCATTTGACAGAATTTGCAACTCAACACTCAGTGCCAGACACCATTTTCTGCAACAGTAGAATTTAAATTCCCAGATAGTCTGCATCAAGTTATATATTTTGAAAAGCTGAGAGCATATGCTGTTGAAGGAAACTGTCAACTGAGCATGAAATATCTTAATGGACTGATGTATATATATTAAAAAAAAAAAAAAAAGATGTTGAATATCAACCGTTAAAAAAAACATCTTTATGAATTGATATACTACTTATTTTTACATCTTTCTCAGCTTAACACACATCTTCACCGGTACATGCAAATACTTAGCTTGTTAACAGATCTATGCACCCGGGTCTCTCAATGTACATAGACAAAATCAAATATTTACTTTTGGATAGTTAACCATATTTTTTAAAGAAAGATCTGATGCACTTCAGACAATTAGAAATTCTTTAACTGAAAATGAAATTTTGGAGCAAAGGTTAAGTTTACATCACCCTTTTAAACAATGGTGATGTAGCTTCTACCTTTAACATAGTAGCTTATCAGGGGCTCCCACAAAAGTTTAACAGAATTTTATACTTGAAAATAGATACCACTTGGCAAATTTGCACCCTAATTTCCATAATCACTGACGGGAAAATATCAATTTTCTTTTGGCTCAATAGGTAAGCCCTACCATTATATTTAGTGCCAAATGTCTCTTCTTCCATTTCCCTAATAGAAAGGATGCCTAAAATGTTATGGTAATCCTCTATTTGATTTTTATTGACTTGGTTAGCCTCCTGTTTCCTCTAACATCCACATGAGGCTTTGCAATTGTTATGCATTGTTGTCAGAAACTGTGCATACATCTACTTGCATTGGATTATCTTTTACTCATCTATAGGTAGAAAGGTGAGTAATAGGCTTGATAATGGTATGGTAACACACAAAAGTAAGTATTTTTCCTCTCTGAACATAACAATGCACCACTTTGTGCATTACTACATAATATCGTTACAGAAGACTCAGAATTTAACACTAAGAATGCATTGGTGTTTTAGACAACTGCATAGTATCAATCTCAGTTGGGAAACGCATTTGTTAAATTTGTTAAAATTTATTAATTCTAGCTGTCCTAGCATATATGGTTGTAACTCTTCCCTAAGTTTATGCAAAGAAGTGTGGGTGCAGTAGAACATGCGCAGTGTGAGAAAGCATTAAGGAAATGAAAATTACCTGAAATACTTTATTACATTTAATTAAAAAGTTATGCAAATACCCTAACGCTTGTATTTACAAAAAGAAAAAAAATATTTAAAATGTAAAGTTTATCACCCAATTGAGTTTGACAAAGAGAAAGTTTTGTCCCACTAAACTGAAAACAAGCAAAACGTGCATATATATATTGAACTGTAGACAGTATATAATCATCTGCAAATTAACCCAAAAACCCATCAGCTCCAAAAGTTTCTTCTACATCTTTTGTCAGCGCCATTGAGCAGCTGAGAGAGATTTGTGGCACAGGACAGAAAACTTACTCTTCAAGGATTTTAACACTTGCGTGGTGTATCTCAACTTTTCTAATTCAGAATAGATGGTTTGCACGAATCAGAAATAGCACTCTCTTCCGTTGCTGCTTTCATTTTTAACTAGAATATACTAGATTGCTCACATTTCATTATACTCTACATCCTTCTGGAAAATAGTAAGAGGGAAGGCATAAACCATGTTTGTGTTAGGACACCACTCTTTGCCAACCTCTTCACCAGGCTGCCTTGACCATTCTCAAGTGACCATCAGTCTCAACATCTATCATAATTAGAAGCAACACATCCACAACCTGATGTGCAACGGACAAATGCAAAGGATTTCAGTAATACCAGCATGACTGTTGAGGAGTCTCATACCTTCCCCATCACAATTTGTCTCTACCCCTTCATGAGGGAATTCTTATTTTTGATGCCTACTCTGACCACTGAGAACAGAAGCAAGCCAGGAGTTGACCACTTCTTAACACGGCTAATGACAGAGCATGCAAAAGTTGTCATATACGCTATTTCTATTTCCAGATTTTCTTTACATGAAATAAAGTTTGAACAGAAACTGGCAGGTGCGCAGTGGTCAAGACAAATTATCAATGTTAGCCGATGACTGGCAGTCCTGCAAAAAGGCCGTTCATCCATTAAAGCAGTGTAGTTACAAGTCCCTGACATGCACGTTTCTGACATCCTGCTTTGTCATGTGTTATTCTTGATTTCAGAAGGTTTGCAAAGCCAATGCAAGAAGAAACATGAGGCTTATAAGTAAGACCTCGTAATGGTACATTAAGTCTACAAAGCAGAAAATTCAGCATCGTAATTGCAACAGTGATGGAAGAGGACACATGAAAACTCAGCAGCATTGTACACATATCTGCAGGTAACAAGACTGTAAAGCAAAATTATGATGAGGAATACTTGTTTTAGTAAAATATTCACTATGGTGATTTCCAGTTTTCACCTTCTTGGTATAGCATTCTAAACAACACAGAAAATAATCAAATACCTGTTATCTCTGTAACAAAGACTGTGGGAACTACTGTTTTATGCATCTAAATTGTCAAAGGCTACTTTGAACTTGAAAGATAGCAGTACCTGAACCCCTGGGTCATCTTCATCTTCAGGATGAGGTGATGGTGGCGGAGTTTTTTCCAAATCTGAGTTTTCAGAACCTTCCTTTCCCTTGTTAACCTTTTTCTTTGCAGCACTAGTTTCTGAATCTGCTTTCTTGTTACTGAAACAAAGGTATTTTTAATCAATATTTGTACAAAAATGTAAGCAAAAAGTGCTTAACAAAACAGTTAATCTGCGAGATGTTTATTTTCAGCGACTCCGTTATTTTCAACTGCTTTCCTTATTTAAGTATTTAAACATAACTGTAAAATCAATGACACATGGGCCATCGCTATATATTTCCCATTCCTTAACAACAGACTCCTCGCTTCTTTCCTTCAAGATCTTAGACAGCGACACTGAATATGTCTTCAACAAGAAACTAAAAATGAGACTGGAAAGGAAGAGCTGCTCTCTTCAAAACCTGCACTTCTGAAAGTGGTGTTTGGGCAACCAGACACATGTGAACAGAAACAGGATTATGCATGCACTTGTCTTGATACTAGCCGTGCGGACTAGGTGAGCAGAACCAAAGGAAGCATTACCAAAACAAAGGACCAAATGAGAAAATTCTTCGTTTTCTTCTACCATTCCTACTATTTCCAAGCAGAAAAGGCGCTTTTGTGTCAGCTCTGAGGGCTCCTGTACAGCCTCAACGCATGCAACTGCAGCTTGTATGGGGGGGAAAACCACCCAGCTGGTATCTCAGCATCTACACGATACGAGAAAGCTATATCCACTGATGGTAGAGAAAGGTTTTTGGGGACTGTTTCTCCCTTTCCTCCCCCATGAAAACGTTCGCCACCTGAGGAGCTGGGACCCCATGTCTCCAACTGAGCTCAGAGGCCTGGAAACAGGATGCACGCATCAAAATCCAGCCTTAAATAATATCGTCACCAAATCATGCACCAAGACAATCTTCAGCATTGTGGGGGTGAAATTTTTAAATGGCAACGAAGAAGAATCGATGGTAAAAGTTAGCAATTTTAAGCACATTTAGCCTTTGAGTCTCACATGGGTTTCCGCAAGTCTTTTTTCCCCTCTGTGGTCAACCCCTCCAGGCCTGTTACTGATCTGACAGGCAGGTTGTGGAAGTTGCCGAGACATTTAAGAGCAGAGCTATGCACTGGTACACGACGATTGGCGAGTACAGGTTGCCAAACAGTATGACAGGCACTTTTATACAGCTTCTGTACCTTCAAAGTTTTCATTTCATACCCAGGACGCTGCCTGGGGTTTCTTTTTCCTTCATAATCCCCAGCCTTGTAACTTCTCAAACAAACATCAGCTTTAAGCTTGTTCATTTTGATCAGCGCATTGGCCCACTGAAGGCATATTTTAGAGCTGTAATTTGAAATTCCCAAATACGGTTACATGTTGCTTCAGGACTGGGACAACTCAGTTGTAGCATTATCCTCTTTTGCAGCCAGTGTTTAAACTAATGTTGACTTAAAAATAAAATTTACAAGTGAAAAGACTAGGAGTTTTGGAAAAGAATTTGTATTATCGTGAAATTACAGGGCGCGACACAGCTTTCCTCTCAAAAAAACACCTCAAACTGTGAGAACTAAAAAAAAAAAAAGAGGGGGG